CACATGGGGTCACGGGATCAACATGAGGACATTCAATTATTCATTGCAGAGTCCGGCAAAAATAAACTCAAAGTGGAAACTTTCCACACACCTGCACCCAAACTCCGACAAGCAGTGCTCAGAGCTCATGGCTCCCGTATGAAAGTCAGAGTCTGTGTATTCTCTGTGTTAGGGGCTGTGCGGCACTGTGTGTCTCCACAGTCTAAAGAAAGTTGTACCAATCTATCAAAGCAGCCAGAAGCAAGCCAATAAGACAATTAAAACTTGTTGACAAGTTTAGGACAGCTCTAATTTGGTTCCAGGATTGGTTGCTGCGCTGTGTCTTCCTGGAGAAATTGGATATTGGCACGCCAACGTGCCTACTCCGCCGCCAAACATATATCATATTTATCCATCTATCATAACCAGCTTGAATGAAGCTGATAAATAGCACAGAGGATGGACAGACACGGAAGAAGATTATGTGGCAGTAAAAGAGGTGCTATGTGTACATATGATGATAATTAGAGAACCAATTTGGATCTTTTTTTGAACCAATTCTGATCCCAATCCCTAGACCAACTGCTCCTTTGAGTTTATTATTACAATTCCTGTATACAAATTGGTAGGGATGCACCGATACCACTTTTTTCAAAACAATAACTTGAGTACTTGCAGATACGAGTACTATCGTGTTATTCCTGGGGGAATTCCTAAAACTAATAATAAAAAGTGCCTACGCGTTTCGACCAAAAGCGGTCTTCGTCAGGGCATAAATAATCACAATCAGGTGTGTCTCTTTTAAAAGCAAGACATGTCACATGACAGGAAGAACATGTGACAGGATAAACACAATGTAACCTTGCACAATTTAAAATATTTCTTATTTCAACAATTAGAAAATGCTTTAACAATGAAACATTTTAGCAATTGTTTTAACAGTCAACAATAAGAGCCACAGTCATATTCCTCATACATACTATGTTGTAGAGTTGGATGTTTTTGTGCTCCGGTGCTATACTTTGCTGCTATACTAGTTTTCAGATGAAAGATCAAGTTGCTGCCGCTAGCTTGCCGCTAAGCTAGCAGCAAATGCTTTCTCGCTGCAATTTTTAGGAGATCACCATGGCAACATGTGCCTCTGTATGCTGTCGGTTGACGCTAATGTAAATATAATGTGGGTATTGGTTGGTTGGACAGTGACGTTACAAACAGCTAGTGGGATACTTACTTCACTTATATTCCCTCCTCTTTTATAATAACATTTATAACATTTCCATACACTTTTTCAAGCGCTTTGTAAAAAGGGAACTCCCTAGAATCTTCATTAGCTTTTAAGCAGTTACATAATCCATAATTTTATTGATTGATAAAAGTATTGTTTAATGCAATTTACTGCTTAATTTTCACACATCCAATCAGTAACATCAGCAACTTTTTACCATCTGAAATACAGACTCAAAAAAAGAGCAGACTTGGAGATTCTAATCCATGCATTTGTCTCTAGAAAGTTGTGCCGCTTTTCCATAGTCACAGTACGGCACGGACGAGTGTGGGTGCTTTTCCATTAAAAATGGCACTTCCAAGTATGTCCTCAGCGTGAGAGGGGTTGTCAAACCACGTAATTTACGCGCAACATTGGTCCGTCTGATGTGTCACTTTTTGTCATTTGAAATGACATGTTTTTTTTATTTCAAGTTCAATACATAACTTAGATTTACAATACGCATTTATTTTAAATAACTAAGTATCAACTCGAAAAAGGAATGAGAAGAAGTAAATGTGACTAAAATTATATGCCTGAATATTTATTTTGCCCTTGTGTTTTGACCAAAAATAAAACCTTTTTGTATTTAGCAAATATGTCTCCATCCTTGTTCATAAATTTACCACGGTTACAGATTTACTAACAAATATAATTTATGTAATTTAAATAAAAAGTATATGGTAGGAAATCGTAACTTTTGAACCCCTTTTATGTATGTGTACCATAGACTGTATATATTAACGGACAGAGTCACGCCTATCTCCGCCGTTCACAGGAGTTGGCCATGAAAAGTGCTTTCATGGAGCAATCCAAGATGGCCGCCAGTGGTCCCGCCCACAAGAAAATTGTGAAAAAACGTGTCTGCGCATGCGTCAGCCGGCGCAGCTCCATTCATTTGAACGAGAGACTTCAAAAATTCACCGCGAGTAAACTAGAGTAGACCAAAAAAATTCACCCCCTCAGCATTGACACACATGTGGAACGGAGCTTTGGGCCAAGAGCCAACTTTCGGTCCATCCTGTAAAGACGTTTTTGAGAGGTCTGCCAACGCTATATGTTAGCATTGGCTAATTCTTCTTCTGGGTCCACCCCCATCGGCCCGGGGTGGTATTGCAAGCATGTCAGTGTACGTGATTTTGGCCACTTTTGAGCTAGGACCCGCCCCCACTGATGTGTACTGACAAATGAATGAAACAAAGTCTTGATACAATCACAGATTTATTAAAAACAAAAGTAAAGTGCAAAACCAACAATTTACAAAGTCCACAGTACGAGACCAGGTGAGTGGACAAGTGGTCATTCATTGTTCGTTGGTAATCTCCTCACTTGTGGGAAAGGATTCTCAAACAAATAATTATACACATGACAACTTAAGTAAGCACAAAACAGAAACACTTGAAAGAGAAAGATAAAGCACAGTAGCACAGAGAGGACGTTTTAGCTTAGCTTGCCATCGATAGCTAAATGTAGCTAGCTCCCTGTGTACAACAGACAATCAAAGTTTTACACGAGTAAATACATTTCAGTGAGCTTTGGGCCAACGGGATACGTAGTTAAGCAGTTATTTCAAGGATTACCACAGACTAGTCACAAAACAAGAGCTGGGCGATCTCCCTGAAAATCTTCTCGTTCAGTGTTGTGTGTTCGAGTTGCCTTTGAATTCTTTCTTCGGCCTAAAGAGAGTAACTTGTGGACCTCGTCAACCGACCAGGACGCTGACTTTTGGGGCTTTCTGTGTGATTCCATTTCTCTGGAGTGAGGAGGACGTATTATAGCAGAGCAGGCGGTTTTAAAGATGGTGGGGTTGAGTTGTTTTTACCATAGGGTCCGACGTCATTTCCAGTGATGACACTCGGTGACCAATCAGTGAGCAATCGGCTGACGTCACATTATGGTGAAGCTTCGGCACACTTGGAACCACTATCGAGGTGGCACGAAAAAAGTACCCTCATCCCAAGCCCAACCCTAGTGGAAATGCAAAATGACCGCGCCATGCCGTACTGTTACTGTGGAAAAGAGGCATTAGTCCAGTTCTCAGGTCTCTGCACTGGTTTCCTGTGGCTCAGAAAATAGACTTTAAGTAACTCTCCTGAAATTATTAAACTTGACATATTTAATGGATGAAAAGCTTGTAAATAACTTTTCCACCCCCTTTTTCATCGTTATGATTATTTGGTGGAGTGAATTAGAGCTAAAACAATGCTTTACAACAAGTTTAACTATCTTAATAATCAATTAATCAATAACGATTCTATTTACAGACTTCAACCCATGCGAGTGCTGGGAGATATGATGTTAAGACTCAAATGCATAAAGATGTCACAATTCAATCATAAAATATTATCTATTAGGATGTTCTCAGCTCTACGCTTGAATAATAGATCAATATAGAAAATACAGATCTACTCAGCAACCACATAGCTGTGTTATAGCCATCACCACTATGTCCAAACTATGGCCCCTGGGAAAATCTATCCAAAACCATTTGTTCATAGCACTCAAACTTCCAGCTTATGTTGTGCAAACGATCATAATAGTCCTTGCGTAACATTAATAATAACTTTATGAAGCCAAAATGTAAAGTCCCCCTTTATATGCCAATAATTTAGATTTAGAACAAATTAATGGACTTCTGTCTTATCGGTCACAAAAACGTGGGTGCTACCCATGCTACCACAGGTCCTTCCATCTGTCTTGCATGTCGCACAACAACAAAGCAAGGGCTCTGGGAGTGTGTGACCCGAGGGGGTGGGGACTTAATGATGGAGACTGGTGATACGTGATGTTGCGCTGAGTACACCCATTTTGCATGTTTTGATCGATTGGATGAGATAATACAGAGATCTTGTACCCATAGAAAAAAGTATAGCTCAAACAATAAGTAAAGCATCGTTTTCCTTCCACATCAACAATTCAGACAACATGGTGGTTTACGTTCGGCTTTAAAATATTCATTGTGTTACTTGGACATAAAATAGACCAAGTAGTAAATTGTTGCGTACGTGTCGACCGCAAAGGATACAAACAAACAAGCAAAATAACGATCTTCACAACAAAATAGGTCTTGAACGAGGAAACAATGCCCGAACAGCATCTGCGTCCCGAGGCCAGATGGCTTACAACACAAGACAATAACTCCCACGTACCTCACGCCATGAACTTAACTTTATTTGACAGTAACGCATAACAATAACACAGTGAAACGCGCAGACAGAACACATGTTTTCCACAAATAACATCGGGGTCCAAATTGAACTCGCGTTGTTTATTTTAAGTTTGCAGAATAACACGGAATAGTAAATCGAACTTTCGCAACATGCCCCATATAAATCAATGAACAAACACGGACAACTTCAATCAGACAGTGGTTCAACCTTAGCTGACGAAAACAAATATTGCCATGTTTTTTTTGCGCTCGTGATTTTTTTTTTAGAAGTATTGTAAGCAACTTTCTATATCTTCGATCACCAATAGAAATGCTGCAATGTATACTTAAGAGGCTAACGTATACTACCGCGTTGGGGTTTTCACCTGCCTGAGCTAACGAGATGGCTAGCTACCTAATAGGATCACGTTAGCAAGTCGTGTTAAAGACGGGAAGTTAAGGCAACGCTACTGCTAAGCTAGTTACACAACATCACACATATGCTAAACAAAAAAGTGGTTTACGCAATGAAAGCTGACACAAACAACTTTTAATTTCCATCGTTTTCAGCACTCGTCTTGTCTGAAATAGAAAACAACCGATATTTACCTCGATTTCAAAGTCCGGGAGGTTGAAAGCTGCTCTGAACAGGGAGCAGAAGTGGGCTATGGCGGGGACTTCCCACCACGACTGTATCTCTTCCACAGAAATTGTACATCCCTGTGACATTTTAGGACCGAAGAAACGCCGTAGCGGTTATTTTTCACATCAGTAAGTAGTTTCCCCGGCGTCTTCTTTCGTGTGGGTAACATTAAACAGGTGTTTAGCAGTAACACAAAAGTTGCTTCTTCCGTCCTCTCGGGGCGGTTGCCATTGCGACCCGTGCGGAGACACTACAATCTGTTTCTATCAGTCTCACCGGAGCAGATGGGCTGGACCGTACCATTCTGCCAACACAGGGGGGTCAGCTCTCTTTACGCTAAAAACAACCAAAACAAAACATGCTAAAAACAAGGTACTTTTCTAATCCCACTTCTAAGTCTTATGTTATTGGAACAGGTGGCTACATTGTTTTACTTAAGTATTTTTCTTAAAGATGGAATACCTTACTTTCACATGAATTATACATGCTGTTTGCCCGATTAGAAAGACGCTTGTCAGTAAACCTGACCACAACATGCTGTCTTCCTCTTATAAAAAGAGTCACCACACGCTTTGGGCTGAGAGATGATAAACTGGTTGAGGGAGGCCCTTTATTTTCACTTCTCTGTCTTAAGATGTGATGTTGTCCAATTAGAACATCTGTTTTGAGAGGAACTATGGAGTTTATTCAATTTAATTTTTGTGGTCTGGAAGTTATGTGCCCCAGTTTTATTGTATTTGTCTTGATACTTCTTATGGCAGCTTGTTTCACTACTCACATTAAACCTACACATTTATTCTACTGATTAATTTTTAAAAAGGACTAGCATATGGTGATCCAACTTTAAAAACAGGCTTGAAGTGGTAGCCAATTCTAAGTGAATTCAGTTTAAGTTATACATGTCTTTTTTGTCATAGTTTATGCCTGTCTGAAACATTTCGACTGCGAATATAATAAGTATTTTACTTTAAAAAGTGTATTTTTGTCCTATTAGCTATACATTTACCTTTAAGATAAAGCAGTAAGCGAACGTTTACCCATCATTACGGAAAGGCCCAAAATGTATTAATAGAAGTCCAGTCTGTGGCTGAGAGACCTGTGAAGGAGACTAGAATGATGAAAGCGCCCCTGTGTGGTGAACAGATGCACAGCCGCTAGAGGTAACGCAACAAGTGTATTCAACAGTGCGCGCGTGTGAGTGTATGTGCGCGTGTGCTCTTGTATGTGTGTGTGCATGTGCGTGTGTGCTTTTGTATGTGTGTGGATGTGTGAGTGCATGTGTGCGTGTGTTCATGTATATGTGTGTGAGTTTATTAGCGCACGTATTTGTGTGTGTGCGTATGTGTGCGCGCGTGTGTTGTGTGTGTTTACTAAATACTATGCAATTTTACTTTTAAACTGTTTGTCATTTAATATTTTCCCGTATAAACTGATAATACTTTACCTTGGAGGTTAGAAAAATGAGTCCAAGTCCAAATAGCAAATTATACTTTGGGCCAAAAGGTGGCGCAAAAAGACTCTTCAATTAGTCTTCAGAGACTATGGCCCCGTCCCAATACTCGCACTTCCACCCTCGCGCCCCTCATTTGCGCGTTCCCGATAAAGGGTGCGAGTGCGTAGGGTGTCCCAATTCTCCAGGGAGGTCTTTGGCCCAGCCCCCTTTGCGCCCCTGATCCACACTTCGCCGTAGCCTGCATCAATGCGCACTCTGGCGAAGGATATTGCCCATAATTCTTTGCGGTACACACCAAAACGACGGGAAAATGCATTTAAATATACATTTTGAAATATATATGCAGTATGTGTGTAAATAAGTTTTGCTATGTTACTTGGAAAGAAGCATAAACGTCTGAAGAAGAATTACGGACATTGTGTTTTAACAATTTAATAACTTTTTAAAACAAGCGTTTATATAACATTCAATTTAAACTTTACACTTAGTACAATAATCTTAGAATGTATAAAAACTGACCAGATAACAGTTAGTTACCCACATTTAACTTAAAATTATACAGCTATCTCTAATTAAAAACAACTAATGTACATGTATTTTAACGTGTGTGAAGCAATTCATTTTGTTTCCCAAAGGGTCAGACAAAATTACCTTTAATGTTTATAAAGTTTAGGTCTGAAAATGACCATCTATAGACGAGTCGATGACGTAACCTGCACTCAGTGTGCACTGTCCCAATTCCGCCTTTTTTGCACACTTGTAACCTGCGCACTCCAACCCTGGTGTGCACTTCGAACAAATGCACACGTCGTAGAGGTGTGTAGGGTGCAGTGTGGGTGTTGGGACTGGGCCTATATACTCAAATACTCATATTATTGATAACAAAACCATTAAATCTATTATGTATTGGTCAACTGTACATAAAACATGTACTGTACTGTCAAATTCTGTACTACCAAATATTACACAGGAACTTTCAAGAACAAAAGCATTATAAAAGAATCCAAATTAGTCACAAACAATACTATTATTAGCATCTGTTGTAAACTGTATGGTTTATTAAATACAAAGACAAAACCTGCCAATCAATCCCCAATATGCTTATGCAGTGTTGAGAGTAACTCGTTTCAAATACGTTTATATATTTATTGACACTCGAAACAAATGCACAGATAAATAAAGAGATGGATAGATAGAAAGATCTATATAAACATATAGGTTTGGATATACTCTTGTGATTCATTAATTAATCATCTTCTTTATGAATTGCTCATGCTTAGTGTTTTCAATCCTTTCTGATGAAAGAATAAAAAGTAAACAGTCATTCTAAGTACTGGAATGTGGTTGTGTAACAATGGATAGGGATCTCATGATTGAGGATTTTATTCATGATCAATATTTCTGATATATAGACAGTGTTGCGCTTGTGACGGCAAGTGTTGCTTACACCAGATTTGGCAGCAGCCTCACATGCATGAGTTTATGTCAGGTTGAGTTAGTGCAAAGCGGTGCTGCTGGGACTCTGTCACACTGGGAATCACCACGAGAGGGAGGGATTTAGGCATCGGGACAATGCTGCTGTTTATGCAACGGCCCCTGAGTGCCGGCTGGCTCGCTCAGATTGCTCTCGCTTGACTACCATTACTCCACACATTGTTGAAGGGAAAGCAAAGTGGACAGCGTGATTCTGCCTGCAGGATGCTCTTAGAGAGGTAAGTCCTGATTTCCCACTGTGATACTTTTGGATGGACAAACTAAAGTAGTAGTTGTATATGAAACTGTACTATTGTGAAGGGGACTGAGAAGGACTGAGAACTGGTGTGGGTACACTTCTCTGTGTTTTGGCAAGCGTTTCAATCCTCGTGAATAGAGCAAGCAGAAAAAAAGTTTCCCAGAAAGAGGCTCACTGAAAGGCTTAGAACAAAAAATAAGAAAAGGGGCATTATAACTCTCAGAGAAGGACCACACTTGTATAACATGCATGCATTTGATCTGCTATATTACACTATTATTATTATTGTAATTTCAATAGTATTGGGAATGTTGTGAATGTATATTGGAAAGACTACTCTACCTACTTGACTCAATCAAATACTCTTATCCCTTTTTGAAAGCAGATTAGAGAAACTCAAGCTGTTCAGACTTCACGTAGTGGAGTAATATGCAGTTATGAATGGTAGTTATGTTAATGCACCTGGTAATCTGATTACAGATTGATTTAGAAACAGAATTTTATTTTATTGTCCTATGAGAGAGTACAAAGAGTATACAACAGGAAGGATAAGTTCAACTTTGGCTGGATAAAACAATTGGTTTTATATATTATCTGCTCTATTGTACACAAATGCATGAAGACAGTTAAGTACAGTTTGTAAATCTGAAAGAGAAGTTGTGTTGGATATAGTAGAGTCTTAAAAATGTGGGTTCCACATGAATGTCACAAGTTAGAGGGATGGACAATTGACTGGTTTATAGAGGTGCGACAAGGTGATACTGGTAAGTAAGGGTGGATCTCTGGAAACAAGTGATTTGTTACCACAAGTAAATTGAGGCGATTTCTGAAAATAGCACACACAAAACTCAAAAGGTTTTCCATTACAACAAGATTTTTTTCTTCCAGAGACTTTTGAAGGAGACGTGTAGGTGCACAATAGAAAAAAAGCGCCTGGGCCATGATATCTTTTTGAGGATTTTATTGTGCTGGTGACTGTTGAGAGACAAGACAATCAAGAAAAAACGTTCAAATAAAAAAACTAAAGGAAAGAAAGAAGGCTGTAAGGGAACGTGGCGGGCCTTGGAGCCCAACCAAAAAGCAGTATGACAGACAAGAACATAAGGTATGTGATGCTTCTTGACTTTGCTCATTATAATTTATAACAAAAATGTAAATGGGAGCATGTGTATATGTAAACCTGTTCTGGATATAAATTAGGCTTAACTGCTTCTGGCTCTGTAAATGTATAAATGGTTGTATATGCATGTCTGCGTGTGTTTATGTTGATCCCTCTTGCAGTCTCCCCGCTAAGCTGATTAATGGAGGTGTGGCCGGCCTGGTTGGTGTGACATGTGTATTTCCTATTGACTTGGCCAAAACACGCCTCCAGAACCAACAGGGTGTTCAGGTCTACAATGGAATGTGAGTTGATCTCAACTTAATCACTTATTTGACTGATTATGTTACAAAGTCATCATCTCCTTTTTGATACAAAACTATATTTGAACTACAGTGCCTTGCGAAAGTATTCGGCCCCCTTGAACCTTTCAACATTTCGCCACATTTCAGGCTTCAAACATAAAGATATAAAATGTAAATGTTTTGTCATGAATCAACAACAAGTGGGACACAATCGTGAAGTGGAACGAAATTTATTGGATAATTTAAACTTATTTAACAAATAAAAAACTGAAAAGTGGGGCGTGCAATATTATTCGGCCCCTTTACTTTCAGTGCAGCAAACTCACTCCAGAAGTTCAGTGAGGATCTTTGAATGATCCAATGTTGTCCTAATGACTGATGATGATAAATAGAATGCACCTGTGTGTAATAAAGTCTCCGTATAAATGCACCTGCTCTTTGATAGTCTCAGGGTTCTGTTTAAAGCGCAGAGAGAACCATGAAGACAAAGGAACACACCAGGCAGGTCCGAGATACTGTTGTGGAGAAGTTTAAAGCCGGATTTGGATACAAAAAGATTTCCCAAGCTTTAAACATCTCAAGGAGCACTGTGCAAGCAATTATATTGAAATGGAAGGAGTATCAGACCACTGCAAATCTACCAAGACCCGGCCGTGCCTCCAAACTTTCATCTCAAACAAGGAGAAGACTGATCAGAGATGCAGCCAAGAGGCCCATGATCACTCTGGATGAACTGCAGATAACTACATCTGAGGTGGGAGAGTCTGTGCATAGGACAACAATCAGTCGTGCACTGCACAAATCTGGCCTTTATGGAAGAGTGGCAAGAAGAAAGCCATTTCTCGTTTAAAGTTTGCCACAAGCCACCTAGGAGACACACCAAACATGTGGAAGAAGGTGCTCTGGTCAGATATAACCAAAATCGAACTTTTTGGCCACAATACAAAACGATATGTTTGGCGTAAAAGCAACACAGCTCATCACCCTGAACACACCATCCCCACTGTCAAACATGGTGGTGGCAGCATCATGGTTTGGGCCTGCTTTTCTTCAGCAGGGACAGGGAAGATGGCTAAAATTGATGGGAAGATGGATGGAGCCAAATAAAGGACCATTCTGGAAGAAAAGCTGTTGGAGTCTGCAAAAGACCTGAGACTGGGACGGAGATTTATCTTCCAACAGGACAATGATCCAAAACATAAAGCCAAATCTACAATGGAATGGTTCACAAATAGACGTATCCAGGTGTTAGAATGGCCAAGTCAAAGTCCAGACCTGAATCCAATCGAGAATCTGTGGAAAGAGCTGAAGACTGCTGTTCACAAACGCTCTCCATCCAACCTCACTGAGCTCGAGCTGTTTTGCAAGGAAGAATGGGAAAGAATTCCAGTCTCTCGATGTGCAAAACTGATAGAGACATACCCCAAACGACTTGCAGCTGTAATTGCAGCAAAAGGTGGCGCTACAAAGTATTAGCGCAAGGGGGCCGAATAATATTGCACGCCCCACTTTTCAGTTTTTTATTTGTTAAAAAAGTTTAAATTATCCAATACATTTTGTTCCACTTCACAATTGTGTCCCACTTGTTGTTGATTCTTGACAAAAAAAATATTTTTTATATCTTTGTTTGAAGCCTGAAATGTGGCAAAATGTTGAAAGGTTCAAGGGGGCCGAATACTTTCGCAAGGAGTATTCCTTGCATGTATAAACTCCAAAAAGACAACAACAAATTAATACCCTTTGTGTATGCGGTAACAGAGACATTTAAAGCTTTCCACAGTATTTTGTTTAAAAATTGTAATTGTAACCATAATCTTGGGCACAACATTTTTACCAATTCATGCAAAAAGAGAAGTAGCAATTGACAAGCATTGTGCTTTTCTGTTCTATAGGCTGGACTGTCTGGCAAAGACAATACGCTCTGAAGGCTATTTTGGATGCTACAGAGGTACAGTACAATTCAGGTTCCTAATCCCTGTGACAAACATCTTTACTATAAGTAATCCAATCTGTCCACCCACACTGTTGTTTCTCCCTTCTAATTGCTCTCCATTCTCCCTATATAACATAATAACTAGAGTCAAGTGTCACAGCCCACTGTGCAGCTGCATATACAGTTACGTTAAAGTGTATTGTGGATTAAACTCAACAAATTTTCCTAATTTCAGGTGCAGCAGTAAACCTCACTTTGGTTACACCAGAAAAAGCCATAAAATTGGCAGCAAATGACGTCTTTAGACAAAAGCTCTCAAAGGATGGGTAACTATGCATTAAATATAAAGAAGAAATAGAAGGGGAAGGAAAGGTCTATGATATACTCAACATGTGATATGTTTGCTGGTTTGTGTTGGCAGGAAGTTACCCTTGTGGGGTGAGGTCCTGGCAGGCTGTGGTGCTGGGACTTGTCAAGTTGTGGTGACGACGCCAATGGAGATGCTTAAAATACAGCTGCAGGATGCTGGAAGACTAGGTGGGCTACATACTTGTTTATCACCTGTCTGAAGGATTTGAATTTGTTTCTGAATGTGTTCTCAATATATCATAGTGTTGTTCTCACCTTAATATAACAGCTGCTCAGAGACCGGCCCAGGCACCTGCCCAAACTGCTGGACCAGCTCCATCACTTGTGGCCCCATCGTCAGTGCAGCAGGTCCCCCCTCAGAGGCCCTCAGCCACTGGTCTAACAGTGCAACTGCTGAAGACCCATGGGCTGGCTGGCCTCTACAGGGGAGCTGGAGCCACTTTAATGAGGTTATAAAGAATGCAGAACTGCATTTGTTACAAATATTTTGCTCCAGCACGTATTAGCATTCTCTGCTCTCCTCTCCTCACGGGGCCACACTATGGGCCACACACACACGTGAGCCGCGAGGCAGGCACGTCTAATTACATAAGATATGCTCAAAGTAGTATATTGATAGTCATCAAGTGCATACTGTTTCAGCAAGTGTTATTATTACTATTTTAGGGATGTGCCCTTCTCAATGATCTACTTCCCACTTTTTGCCAACTTGAATGATATTGGCCGGGAACAGCACAGTGCTGCTCAAAGCAGAGCACCATTCTGGCAGTCCTTCATGGCAGGCTGCATGGCTGGCTCTATAGCTGCTGTGGCTGTTACACCACTGGATGGTAAGTAGAGAATAAGTTAAGAAGAATAAGAATGTTTGTTTTATTGGGAAAATCTCTTATTGTATACCCTTCTGCAGTAATCAAAACTCGAATACAGACCTTACAAAAGGGTGAAGGAGAGGACACATACAGAGGAATAATTGATTGCACAAGGTATGAGAGCATATTTATCATGACTCCGTGTCTCACTTCTCAGCAAGAAGGTCCTGGGTTCGAATCCCAGACAGAACAGGACCTTTCTGAGTGGAGTTTGCATGTTGTCCCTGTTCCTGCACAGGTTTCCTCCGGGTGGTCCGGTTTCTCCTACCACTAAAAACATGCACCATAGGTTTGATTGTAATGAGTGAGTGAATGAATGGTGTTGGTTGGAGCTTTGATGCACCAGTGTGTTCAGCGTCTCGCTTCCGTCATCACCGTGTGTGGAAAGAAAGGGACAATATTGAACTCTGAACTTTGTAAAGTGCTTTAGGTGACTTTTGTCTGTAAAAAAGCACTACATAAATAAAGTAATTACTTGCTTACTTACTCACTTCCTGTGCCCACTTTAGGCGCATCATGAAGAGAGAGGGCCCATCAGCCTTTCTGAAAGGAGCGACATGTCGTGCCCTAGTCATCGCTCCACTTTTTGGCATTGCTCAGGGAGTCTACTTCCTTGGTGTTGGGGAAGCCATCTTAGGCCTGCTGGGAGGGTGATCGTTTTGCTGCATAAATTGCTCTGCCTTGAAGCCACACTGATGAGAAGAGCACATGGACAGAACTTTGTGACCAAAAGTGTGATACAGTCTATCCACCAAAATGGATCAGCTTGTTTACTTACATGGCTGCCTAAAACTGTAGGTCAAACAGGGTAGTTTTGCAGAATCTGACTCTTTCATATGAAAAAGATTTAATGATCTGTTGGTGTGTTTTTGCATGCTAACTAAATGCCTATAACTTCAAAATGTATGTAGACATGTGATACTAGTTGCATGGCTGCAGAATTCGTGTGAATACTGTAATTGCTGGAAAACACTACTACTTTTTAAGTTCTTTGAACACTGCGGCCTATATAGCCATGTCGGAAATGTATTCTTAGAAAAACATTGGCACACAGCTCTGTAGCTTATGTTTATGTGAACAGTGCAGAGAGAGACAACATGAGGAAAAACACAGATTTGTTGTGCTTATGACTGTTGTCAGAGCAGAGTTTATGTACTTATATGTGGACAACATTTGCTTTATTTTAAAATGTAGCTGGTGCTGTTTATATACAGGCGCGCTTCATAGTCCAACAAGTACTGTAATTGAAATATTTGTAATACCATGCCAAGGCATACTGGTTTGTAATGACTTGAAAATCTGATAAAAAAAATTCACATTTCAAAATCTTTTCAATCGCAGTTAAATCTCATCTCTATTAAGCATTCTTCCCTCTCCATCCGTGATATGTAATCTTGGATTCTAGGTTTTCTCCTGGATTGTGAAGAACTGTCTGTTGGTATCTCTAAGGTCATGAGTTAATCTGATGGTAATGCTTTAATCCCAGTATTAGTCTACCATATATCCTTACACCGCTCACTTCCTGCCTACGGCCCCATGTTATATTTGAAAGCCTTGAAATACTTAACATCAGTGCAAGAAAAGAAATGACGACACTCAAAGTTGTTGATTTCAATTTTTTTCATTACTTTCTTTGTTTAAAATTGGTCTCAAGATTTAAAATATTGAACACCATTGATAACTAAAAGTAGTGACATATGATGCACCTTTGAGCCTTCTTTCTGCCAACCAATTGCTAATGTCTTAAATCCATTTTTCTTTCTTCAACACTTCTGATTAAGTAATATTTAGAGTGTACAGTTTCTTGTAATGGCTAATGCATTACACATTTAGGGCAATTAAAGACTGAGTAACCTATGTAAACCTATGAAGGTCAATAAATGAATTGTAATTTATCTTGGTCTAAAAGAGGTTTATTACTTACTTTGGATTTTGTCAAAGTAGACAATTACCATGAAACAAGGAACACATTTCAACACAATTTAACTTTAAAATCAATTCAATCGTCAGCAAAGTCATGTTTATAGTAGCTGAAATTATATCTCTTCACTAAATTCTAAACACTATCCAAGTCATGGTCTGGCATTGTCCTATTGGGGCAGAATTAACCTTTTCAAATCCAGAATTAATCCACAAACTTTCGGTTGGGGTTTGCTCCAAACAACGCCACTCTTATTTCAGGCATTATCTGGAAAAAGTAGTGTCACTGTTACTATTATACAACGAACAAACCTTTGTACATAAAATTTGATAACGATGTATTTTCCACAGTCAAAAGATGAAATGTACATATGTACAGTATAAGAGACACAATGGCTCCCTCTACAGGACAGAAGTGATCCTTTCACAGAAGACAGTACCTGCTGTGTTATCAGTTCCAGTCTTCTTTCTAATGTATTAGTGACCTTGATCTTCCCATTGTCATTGTAGACTTCAACTCCCCCACAACTGTGAAGATAAAGTATATTCAAACAATCTATATGAGAAATAATATATATTTACCAAACATAATCTGACAACACCAAGTAAGTGCTTGTGGTTTACAGTAAGAAGGTCCTGGGTTCGATCTTTCTGTGTGGAGTTTGAATGATATCCTCGTGTCTGCATAGGTTTCCTCTGGGTGCTCGGGTTTCCCCTACCACTAAAAGCATGTAGAATAGTATGAATATAATGAGGATTGTGATGGTGTCTCGCCTTTGTCATCGTGTGTGGATGGAAATGACTGGTACAACAAACTACTTGTGAGTGCTCTGTGTGACTTACTATCACTTACTGTTAAAGTTGATCCTGGACTTATAACCTTAACCTTAGCCCTAATCCTTCGCTAATAGTCCCCCAATGAAACATAAATCCTTGGTAAACAACTTTGACATTGACTGGACTAGGGCTGAAACAACTAATCGATTAATCGACGACTAATCGATTATTGAAATAGTCGAGAACTATTTTAGTAATCGATTAATCGTTTTCTGGTTCACACGGACTCAAACAGAGCAAAAATGACATGAAAATGTAGTATTTTTTATTAAAACCGACTTTGTTTTTATAATTTCATGAATATCTGTCTGTCTCATCCAATCAGATAGCAGAATTAGCCCAAAGAGCCTGTTACAAACATTTACTTTAAGTTTACGCCATCAATACGTCCTCGAGTGTTGCCACTTTAGCTTTTTGTGATGAAAAAATATTTTTTTTCTACACAATTCACAGCCAAGCGATTACTCGATTAATCGTAAAAATAATCGATTACAAAATAATCGTCAGTTGCAGCTCTAGACTGGACTGTTAATTACTTCAAAACATGCAATTGTTCCTGCAAACCATTACTTGGTGATATCAGATAATTTGATCATATTTACTTCACGCATATATATGATTCTTACACATCAGATGGAAGAAAACGCTCCATGTCAATTTTGACAACAAGTTTGATTTTCACTGACTCTTTGTAAATAGGAATGACTTTGTCAATGGCAGCCTGGCAGAAAAATGCAATAGATCAAAACATGACACTGTGATTGAGAATAGTATAATATTGCATTACCTGAACCATCTCTACATCCTGCTGGCGACAGCGAACAGTTACTTTAGATTCTAGAAGTTGATAGAATCCCTGGGAAAATATTTATAGAATAAAGTGATTTATAGAATGATTAACTCTATATCTTACACTAATAGAGCATAATTCATATTTTTTGCAGATTGTGATTTAAGACCATGTTTGCTGTTCCACCTGCAACAGGAGACCTTGTAGTAAAATTGAGTAGTTATCCGGATCCTTGGCAATGTGTGCAAGTCTGTATTGGGCTTCTTTCAACAAATCCTGGAAACATACTTTTGTTAAAAACTTTTTTTAAAACAGTTTTTTTATTATTACTTTTTTTTTTTTTTACCATGACTATGTCATCCCGGGCCTTCAGAACCTTCAGTCTGGCTTCGTTCAAAAGATGGGACATCTGGCTACAAAAAAATGTAATAAACACATTTACTCATATAATTGAACAATAACTGTATTATGCCCTAAATATACTATATTAATCAATACTATTGTATTGTATACCATTATTGTAATCACTCAAACAACTGGTGGAAAGCTTAAAGATATTGTAAATATGTTTTCCCAAAATTACTAATTGGCATGAGACCATGATTCATCTCACTTCAACCTCTGTTGTTTAAAAGTCTTCACTCACACCATAGATCCTTTAAACGTATGTACTGTAATAAAATGTCCAGAACAGTGGTACAATATAAAATGCATTTACAATATGAAATGCATTATTCTGATTTTTGAAACTCACATTTTCTTATGCTGCTCTATATGCTTTTCCTTCTTCTCATAGTATTCCATTATTTTAACTCTCTGCGTCTGCACAAGGCGCCCTTTCTCTATATTGAACTCTTCTTCTGCCTGTAAATGACACGAGATGACCATTAGCAGTCACTTAGGGGGAAATCACAAGACTCTATGACAACCCGAGTTACCTTAGCATCAATTTCTTCCACTTTTTCTGCAGCTTCTTGCTCAATGAAGGCCATCATGTGCTTGATCTGCCAGACATGAGAATCCTAATCATTTTCATAGACATTGTAAGTAGTCACACGATATGAATTAAAAAAAGTAAAAAATGGATCAAAAGGCATGCAAAAGAAATCTTACCGCAATACCTTTTGTCAATGGGTTTCAGGATAATTAATATTGAGGATTGTGGCATATAGGGACAAAGGTTTACTTTCCCTATAGTACTTTATCTTCATTAATTACATTTCATTCTCTGAACTCTTTTCTGGCATCATGCTTTCTCAGGATGTTGAACACTATATTCTGTTGATTATAATGAATGAAAAAAAAAAGTCTCTACAATACTAATTTTAATGCAAAATGTGTCTAATATATTTTAAACTACTTGCCTTGAAATGAATTGACTGCTGTATGTAAGTGCAAAAACATCCTGAATGCACAACGCACTTAAAAATACACTGGTTGACTAAAGTTTAAGCGGGCCCTGTGGTTAAACCTAAACTTCATTATCTCTCTAAATCTTTCTCACACACAAACCACTAAAATATTACCTGCTTCTGGACGTCTGCGTCGGTGAGAGCCATTTGGAAACTGTAAGGTAAGTTTACAATTTAAAAAGTAAAGTGTGATCTGAGCTGTACGCACCTCTACAAACAAAAAATGCAATAGCTGTCCAAACACGATATACCCATGCCTATTGCCAAGGGTCAAGTTAGATATGTAAACATTCGAATAGTCTTTCAAAATACACAGGACTCGACACATTATCAGATCACAAAGTACATGTTAATAATGACATCTCACAACGATGGAAAAACAGCAAGTTATTGAAATGCTTAAAGAAAACTCTGAAATAACGACAAAAAACAAACTGGGCCACGATTGTTTTATTGTGAAGTAAAATACCGGAAGTTGGATTGTGTTTCCGGTCAGCACTATTTCAGCTTCACCGCCGCACACGGAGTACTGCATGTTCCAGAGGTGGTCTCAGTGGGCTCTGCAGTGTCAGGGCTATTCAGTTAAGTCGTTTGTGTTCACCGGGTTGCCTTTGACTGTAGGGCGGTAAGTATGGATTCTTACCAATGAAATTAACAGGTGCTACTAGGTACTGTCATTTTTTAAGCAGAACATAATCGACACATGTGTGATTGAAAAGCTAGCTAAGTTGAAAGCGTCTGCAGTGGTAAGCATGGGGTATGACCATGACTACATTATGTCAGAGGTCATTTCCATGGATGCCTTGTATTCCTATATCCCATAAGAAAAAAAAAACATTTGTTAGTATTATTGCTAATTTGTTATTGAGTAGTCGCCGCAAATCCACTTTAGTGATTTACGTTATATTTTGAATGTCGAGTTCAGAAAGTGGAGGAAGTGTGTGTGGATGGGGAGGTCTGGGCGTCTCTGCTGCCCCCGCGACCCGGCAACGGATGAAGCGGAAGAAAATGGATGGATGGATGGAGTTCAGAGAAAGTTGATAGGTTACTGACATCTCACAACGATGGTTTAACAGCGAGTTATTGAAACGGTTACATCCTGACCAGGCGATGATGACAATTCCAGTGAAGAATGTGGCTTTCACGCCCACAATTTCTCCACGTGGCTACTGTATTTTAATCATTGCTTCGTAGCTGTGTATTTACTTTGTCACTGCGTGGTATGTGGAAGTGATAACGGCGTGCTTGTTATGGTATACACTTGTGTATGTTTTGAACTGGAGTGTTTTGCCATCAAGTTACTGACCCCATGTCAATTCTCTTTTTCTTTTCAGGTTTTACGTCCTTGTCTGTCTTTTAAACATATGTGCCTAGAAGCATAAAGTGCATCTGTTCAATGGCAACCTCTGACCCCATTTCTGTGTCTGAGGGCTTCTATTATGAAACCAAATACATTGTGCTCAGCTACCTGCGACTGCCCCCCGCCAGGTCCCATGCACTGCTCAGCACTCAGGGTGAGAGGTGGATTTGGGGTGTTGGCGCTTCATGTTATACACAGATGGAAGTACCTGCTTCTACTGCTATTTAACAAAGTGGCATTTTTGTATAGTGGGTCAAACCTAGGGGTTCTCAAGCTTTTCAGACAGGCCCTGCATACATAAAATAAACCTGATAAATCATTTATTACGTTATTTGTCCCAATTTCACTTGAAAAGATCACATTATGTGTCAAATAATTGGTGACAAACTGAAAGGTTTTGAGAATATTGTCTTAAAATAGTCTTTGAGTGCAACATCTCCTGTGAAGCACTCCTGTGAACCCTGTGTTAACTTTTGCAATTTTCGTACACATAGAGTTGATGATGAGTGAAAATACTGAAGGCAATAGAAATATAATGAAATAGTTTTTGGAATAAGTAATTATTACAAGGGTGAAAGCAAACATTTTTTTTTCCTTCTTGATGTGCAAAAGGGTGGAGGTGTCAGAGATGTTAGTTGATCCATGCTTTCCGCTTGAACCAGCCCATCTTCTGACAGGCTGTCAGATGTAATCACCATAGGATTATTCACGAGCCAGTGGACCAAAGTGAAATAGTTGGCTTGCTAGTTGTCTGGGTAAATGCTGAAGCAGCAGCAATACCAGAGAAAAACAACAGTGGATATGTGGGTTGCCTCACAGCGCAGCAAAAAACTTGCATCCAAAAGTTTAGTCAGTGTAAAGTTATATGATCTCTTTAATAGATTTATCCGTCTAAGATTGTTACCACACATTATTGAGTATAGGCCTGATATATTCAATATTGTTAATATACTGGATAATCCTTTATTTTGCAGGAGATTCCCAAATGGAAAGACAGAGAACAGATGAGATGAATGAACAAGTAGAGGAAGAGTTGAGAAAACTTGAAGATGAGATTGCTTTTTGTAAGTATGGATTCCACTCGCACACACAAGAACTAATTTGATATTGAGTAACTATTCTTTTGTTTGTATCAAAGGCTCATGTTGGCATCGCAAACAAAGTCATCAATATTTTCTTAAAATTGTTACTGACATTTTGAATCTCAATATTCTTGATGATTTTGTATGTCCACAAATTTGACTTGTCTCACACAATTGTTGTTTTATAGCCGCCTCTAGCTCAGGTTTCGACCGACACACATCTTTAGTCTTCACTCCCACAAATCCGGAGGGCTCTATTGAAGACTGTCTTGCTGCTCTTGGAGATGAAGTGGCTGTTGACCTGGATCCATATCTTTCTTCTGCTGTGGACACACTCCTCATGGGGTTGGTTTAAACAACATAGTTTGATTTTTCCATAGATCCTTCTAATCATAACATTGTATCTGTATATTGCATAGGCCACTGGACTATGCAAGCTTCAGACAAACCAATCTTGACCTTTCTCTGCATACACAAGGAGGCTGGCAAAAGGTATGTAACAATTGTGTGTCTAAACAAGTTTATAGGTGTCCAGTATTATAATATTTCCTCTTCTAGGTTTTAGTACCATTAGTGCTTATTCAAGCTTTACAAGCTAAGAACCAGGGTTTGTCAAGTTTGCTGCCACTTGCTGTGGAGTTCCTCAAGGAAAATGAGGCTGAATACATCATCCAGCAAGGGGGATGGGTGAGTATTGTTTGCTACCATGCATCGAATATGTAAAATTATAGATGTCTTTACAAGATGTTCATTTAATATAGCCTCATTTGAGGAAATGCACAATAAGCCCACAAGGGGGCGACTCGATTGTACACATTAATATTCATTGTGCATATTTATGTAAAATAATCCATTTTATTATTCTAGAAGGATAAGATGATTATACTTATACATGGACAGGTGTATGAGTAAATCATGTGTACCATATAAACATGTTAATAGCCAATGTTGATGACTATACTTCAAAATTTGCTAACCACTAAGCTGCATTCTTAATCGGCATTATGTCATAGAGGTTGAACAGATGACGGAGTAGGATCAGCTCGGGGAGGAGGGATGGGAAAAGCGTGCAAACTGGAGAGTGGCAGTAGGAGGGAGGGAGCGAGTGAGTGAGGGAGCGAGTGAGTGAGGGAGGGAGGGTGGGCTCAGAGATGAGGGAGCATGGGCACGTGAGCTAGGATGAAATCTCCATTAGTTTAACAGCTGGCTGCATGTGCACTTGCACTGGCTCCACCGCGCTGCTTCTCACCTCATCTGTTGTTGGCCATCCAGGTAGTACATTATGCTTTTTCTTGAATTTTAAGGATGGCTTTACTTTGTTATTGCATGATAAGATACAAAAAGCGAGCATGAGAACTGTAAACATTGTACGCAAGTCCTTATATCCATACATAGAAGAGTAAATTGAGTACAGACACTGGCATTGGAGAAGCATGCTCAGATTATTTATAAGCATTCATATTTGTTGTGGATGTTTGATAAATCTGCCCTGCTGCCAGTTATTGTTCAGGGGTGAACATAGCAGCAGCAAGACACAAAAGTGGACAGCATGCAACCATTTTTTTTGTTTAGCCTTTTGGTTATGCAACATTACTTGCCAAGTTGCATGAAGGGCAAATATTGGAAATATGTGTACAGATAAAGCTCATTCTGTGCTATTTGGATTTGTTCATTGGTAAATGCTTTCTTCTTTAGGAATTCAGTGAAATGATAACTTTACACTGATATTTGTGGAAAGTGCTCTTTACTGAGGACAAATCCCACTGCACCTTGCTCTGTCAACGCAGACATTATGTAACCACGCTCTTGTCTCTGTTGTGATGAAATCTGCATGTGACCGTGGCTTTGGGCATACGATTGTAATGGTGTCTCTAAAAAGGGAGAATTTCCTAAAATAACTGAAGTAATCCGGTGGGGTTTAGTGTCCCACTCTAGCAGCCGCACATCAGTGTAATCAGAAGAATGTCACTGTCTTTAACAGGGTGCAGATTTGGTGAATTCTCTTACAATTTAAAAATATCAAAATGAAACGTGCATTTGATACATTTTACTGTAATTACATTGTTATCCCATAATTTGTCTGATATAGAAGTCAACTATTTTGATTACAGAATTAAAGGGTTCCGCGACTACTGATGCTTTTGTCCTTGTTTGGGTATATCGACCTGCAACTCTACTATATCATCTCTTTGGCCCAAAACAATATATGTTGGATTACTTATTTCCACATGCAAATTGCATATCAAATCTAGAAGTGTCAGCTCCATTACTTAAACTCTTATCGGTTAGGAAAAGTTTTCTCTTTACTGTAACAAATCTCTTATTTGAGTAGTATTACTTAAGTTTTGTTTTTGCTTTTTTTGTTTAGTGACTTTTTGGAAGACAAATATAATGGCAATGAATGGTTGCTGTGGCTTGGTTATGCCAGTAGGTGGTGTTAAATGCCTAATATATGAATGGATGATTCGTTTATAATTTTTATGTCATACAATTCAGCATAATGACTGTTGTCTCTTTTACAGGGTAAGGTTTTTAGCCTTTTACCAGAGGAGGAGCGAGGTGTGGCCATCGCAGAGGACAGTAACGACATTTACATCCTCTCAGGAGACCAACATCAAGACCAGCTCAGCCCTCCGTCCTCTCTGGTGTGCACAGAGGGCAACAGCAGTGGACACAGCTCCTGGCAAACTGAAAGTCTTCCTGTGTCACTAGCTGCTCACGAGTCCTGGGCGCAAGTCGCTGCTATGGACCCTGAAGATGCCAAAAGCCTGGACAGTAATGAAGGTGTAGCCTTAGCTGAAGAACGTAGTGAAAATAACTCATCAAATTCGGACATTGTTCATGTGGACCGTGAGGAGGCTGAGCTTCTGGAGGCTGGTGAAGGGGGAGCTATAGAGGAGAGCATGATTAGTGTCCTTGGCACAGAGAGTGATTTAGCTGCACTCAGGGAAGAGTACAGGGAGCAGACGCCACCAATTCCAACATCATACGATTCTGCAGAACCAGCTTCACTGGTGTCGCTGGAAGAACCTGTAGTAATCGAGACTGCACCAAGTATATCTTCTGAGCCTTCCCTCATCTCCTTAGAGGAGCTACCTGTGGCTTCAGAGGCTGTGGCTTCCCCCAAAGAACTTCCACCTGTTTCTGCTTCACCAGAGTTTGAGTCTGTCCTAGTGTCCGAGGAGCCCACTGCGGAAGCCAATGAACCTCTCATTGAAAGTATCCCAGCTCCAGAAGTGAAGGCTAGTTCTGAAGAACCTGTTGCAACAGATCCAGAATCTGCTGAAAGGCCTCCTGTGTCAGAGCTGGAGGAGCCCTTTTCCCCATCTGTGCATGTGACTGAAGACCTGGTCCAGCCCCCTGATGCTCCTCCTCAGGGACCATCTGCTGAGCACCCAGTGGACACTGAGCCCAAATCTGATTTCCCAGTCCTGCTTTATGGGGGTGCTGCTTTGGCAGTCGTCACAGCAATCATGGCTTATGGTTTAATTTCATACAGAAGAAAGTAGAAAAAGGGTTGTCAGTGTAGAAGTAATATTGGAACAGTTCTTGTAAACTGGATTAGTCTTTTTAATCTCACCAGCAACCAAAATACCCGTTACTATTTAGCTGCAGCAGTGAAATATGGCACTCCACTTCTCGACTCATTGTTCATGTCATGTTATTTTAAGTGTGAAAACTGCCAAGCTCTGAGTTGATGTGGTTAAACGTCTGACAAAGGGAACATCCTATATCTTTTTCCTTTTCATTGCCAAGACTATTGCTACTTATCAAGGAGACCCATACAAGTGTGAACCCATTGATATCTTTATTCACAAAACCTTAGTTGAAAGTAGCAATTCTATGCAAAGTTTCAAACAATTGTTGAATAAGTGTTTGCGCTGGGGCAGCAAATGGATAATGTTGCAGTAATGACTTATACAAATAAACACCTGAAATGTTATGGTTCCCTTGTTATTAAGGTCATGAAACCTTGTAAACATTGTAATACCAAAGTACATTTGTTTTGTGGAAATATATTGAAATTAATCAACAGAAATTAATCCTACAAGGTATTCAAGTTTGTTCTTTGTAGGAAGTCACCTGGCTCCTTCAGAATTGAGGTATCGCAGTGTTGTGTCAAACAAACTTCTTAACAATGTGGGAGCTTGAAGACATACTCTTTTCACCAGAGTAAAAGTAAGAGCAGCGACCACAAGTTCTGAGCGTAGATTCGCCAGTGCCACTCCATGTCTCAGTACGTGCTGGACTTCCTGGTGAATATAGCCGTTCCAGTGCTGTCAAAGAGAGGTTTGTAGATTACTAGTTTATCATGTACAATCTGCCTCAAACGCCATTTTACATACTTCGATAGAGGATCCCATAATGTTTCTGGTGAGACTTAGAGTGGCGCGATTTACAATGTTTGGTTCAAATTGCGCTGCTATTTCCCGGATCTCTGCTGCAACCTGCTGAATGTTCTCTGCAAGGGCGATAAATAAATTTACGATTTATAGAAGCCCTTCTATTAGGGTTGTGGCAGCTCACCAGGAACATGCACATCTGCAGAGGGCTCTAGGTCTTCTAAGGAGATTCGGATGCTAGGAGAGAGTCCATCAGCCTCCAGATCGCAATCAGTCTCGTAATCCCCGTAGAACGAGTGGTATAACGACGTTTTAGTGCTTTTTTTCAGAGACCGAAGCTCCTCGCAGTAGTCTTGGGGACAGTTTCCACAGTCCGCCTGGAGAAATGCCCAAAAAAGCACAGAGCATTGTGCCCTGGAGAAACTCATTGTCTCCCATCCGAAGTTGGATTGCAAAGTTAAGACCTAAGAATGGGCAAAGAATAGTTTACGTTAATTACGCATGTCCCCGGTGTACAGGTTAGACGCGTGCTCCATCCACTTTCCTCAGTCTGGTTACATTGGACATTAGCGAACACGCAAAGTAACAGTGCACTTTAGATGCATTAGCCACTTTACTGGAGTAGCACACATTCTACTCACATTTAACTTTGCCGAACAGCGAAGTAGAACACAGCTTTTGATCGCGACTCAAGTCTTCGTCTTCAACAGTATCAAACACTTGTGACGGAGATACGGGGAGATTGTTTTCATGCGGAGGGAGGGGTCAGGGGGTGCACGCGGGCGGAAGTGGATCATCAAGTCTGGTCTTCACATGGATCTAGTCTAGAGTATTGTTTTGTAGCAGACGTCTCAAGAACAGACACCTCGCCTGTTTTAAATGGGGGATACAAATTTACTTATTCATGGTATTGGTACCGCAATAATGTCATACAGAGATAAGGGAGGGGGGAATGGGGAAATCCCAGACAGTTAAGTTTTGTTCACAGCTGATGCATGACAACCACAGGAACTTGAAAGTGTTAAAATTTTTATTTACAGTTAAAAAGATGCATACATGTAATGCTATGTTGACTCAAAGACTGAATCTGAAGAGAAAGTCTTAGAGCTAAAAACACAAGTTAAGCTCCATACTCCATAGAAAGAAGGCCTTCAAACCCCATAACCCGGACAACCAAAGCTCATGGAGCGGGTCACTTTTCTGCCAACAAGCCTTCTGCCCGATTTGGGTTGAGACTCTGCATTCTCACCGGGCTTAAACTTTGGATTATTGATCAGTTCAGGTGAAAAGGTACCCAGGCGAGCCTCCTTTAGTTCTCTGTGGATGTAAATAATGAACATAATTACATCTTGTGTGGTCCTAACCTTTTAATTTGTGATCACTTACTTTTCCAACATTGCAGTTCTAAATTTTTCCACGTTTAGCTCTTTACGCAGCTGAGCTAGTTTTTCTGACCCTTCATCCTTTAACACAGGATGCTTGCAGAGCTCCTTGGCAGCCGGACGCTTTGTTGGGTCAGAGTCTAGTAATGACTGCAAGAAATAAAATCATATTTCTATAGAAGACAAAAATTTATATTGAACAATATACCTGAAGCAAAGCACTAAAAGATGGTGAAATGGCCTGTGGAAGTTTGGGCAGATGGCCTTCTCTGAGACTATGCCACTCTTCACCATTTTGAGGAAGTGCAGTGGCTCCAGCTGCCAATAGCACCGTGAGACCCAGAGAAAAAATGTCCGCTTTAGGAAGGTTGCTGTAGTCCTGCAAATGTTCATGGTCTTTTTAGAACAAAAATAAATACATCCACATTAAAACAAACTGAAAGCTTACTTCATGCAGCACTTCAATAGCAAGAAAGCGGCTGTCACCTTCTTCAACTTGAGGGTTGGTTGTTGAAGTGACATGTCCAAGATCCCCTTAACATATAAAGAACAGATATGGTGTGTACAGCCATTTCAAGTATTTTTAAATGCTATATTATCTCCCTAAAACAGACCTATTTTATAAATTACACCAGCAGACGTGCTTGTTTCATCTTCTTCACTGTCCCTTTCTCCTCCTGTGGCACTTTTTGATTGATGCTGGCAAAGAAAAATATTACCTGCAAGCAGTTCCGAATCAATCAGAATCAATTTGCCAATTGCAGAAAAAAACTACATTGGAAAACAAACGAGACACTCAGTTTAAACACTAATGGTTTATCAAAAGTTTTAGTAACAGCTTTTATACAAATACATTCTGATGCTATCCTTTACATTCATACATTCTTGATTTTGTTTGCATCATACTCTATACTCATACTGTACATGGAACTAAAACTATGGAAACTGATCAAGTACAAATTAATTCTCCATTATTCAGAAGCACTTACTTGGCTTGATGTCAAGATGTACAAGGCCAGAACTGTGGATATATTTTAGACCCAAGGACACTTGAAGAAGCAAATCTTTCAATTCAGCTTCTGGAAAAAGTTCACCTTTCTCATCTTTCTTTACAATGACATCATTTAGACTTCCACCTTGGTCCCAAAACAGAAAATAAATATATAGTCATACATTTATGTACAATAAATGTGTTTGTACAGTCATACCGTCACAGTATTCATTCTGAATAATCATGTGATCATCTTCTGCCCAAGCTGAATAATATCGGACAACATGTGGGTGGTGTCCAAGAACAGCATGTGCATACACCTCCTTAAGAGCCAGCTGTCTAAAAATGACATTTATATCATTTAGACCATGAAAAAACCTGGCATATACCTTTTACTTACTCATTGGCAGAGCCTGCAAGGGGTCGGCGAGAGCGTTTGATGGCATACAAGCAACCGTCCAACCTCTTGACACACTTGTAGACAGCTCCAAACTCACCCACACCAATGCGCTCCAGCTCCAAGAACTCACTCTCGTACCGTGACAGCATAAAGGCCTGGACAGCACGCCTCTGCCAGACAACAGATGGAGAGTCCTGTGTTACAGAAATCTCAAAAAGAGGAGAAAGACGTCATTACAGCTTGTAAGGGCTTGAGCTTGCTTTTGAACAAGAGTCTCCATGGACGTGCCAAATATGGTACCATTTCCACCAGAAATAGGCTTTGCGATGCTGACGGAGCTTTGTATGGAGATTCCGGAAGACGACAGTGTCAGTCTTTGGACAGCACAAAGATTACGAGGTAGAATAAGATGGATGTTAGTAATAAAAAAAAAAAAAAAGAAACAGCCAAGGGACCATACACACACAGATTTCATTGTTTTGGCCATTCTTCAGAATAAAGATAACTTTCTCCACTCATTGTCAGTGGTTGTGTGAATTAATTAATGGCCAAATAAACATGTGCTTTCCATTTTCTAATTCTAGCCGCTATATAAGAGCTCTCAAAGGTGCAGGTAATGTAATGTGGCCCAGGAAATTATAGGAATAGGAGGCTTTTTTCCAAAACAAAAACTCTAAATACTAAAGGTGGAAACACACGCCATTGAAAACTGGGGGATGTAAATCTCTAAATCAGAAATTTGAGTAGTTTGTTATCATTACAGTTTGAAAATAGAATAGCTTCACACAACCACTAACAATGAATTTGAAATTGTTTCGTTATTATCATGCACAATATGACACAAAAAACCCATACATATCTACCTGTGTGTGTCAACTTTAAGTGTAAATGTGACATTAGAATGCACTTTAAAGTTACCTTTGGTGGCAGAAAAGCTTCATCATCGTCCTCAGATGATGCGAGACTATGTTTGATTCTGTGAAACAAAGGGGTGTAATGATGGCAAGCCAAGAGCACTTTTGATTCTCTAATATACAGTAATGTGACGCGTGTACCTGCGGCCATAATCGTCGTCATCGTCACTCCTGCGGTTGGTTTTGCACTGCTGCTCGCTCGTTCGACGCACAGTGTCTGGAGTAAATGGATTGACATTGACAGATGGAGCTTGGATACCATTCATTGACAGGGATTTAAAACGACTAGACCTCCGATGGAAACTTGTTTTGGTACTGGTGAAAAGCTGGGATGATTTGGACAGAAGGCTCTAGAAATTGACAATGGCAATGAGTTCATGTTTATATACACAAATATTTTAAAGTGATGTTGGACCTTGGGTGTACTTGGTGAGTCACACAGCCTCAGTTTTCTCCAGGATGCGTATGGTATGGGGCTGGTACATTGCATAGGAGAGGCGACGGTCTTGCTCCTGCTGCGGTGGTGCTGGTCAGGTGTTCTGCAGACCGGGCTCTTTCTCTGGATCCTAAAGCTGAACTCATCCAGGCTATTGTCGCTGTTGCTACTGTCCTCATCACAGCTGGAGAAGAACAGCTGCTGGGCAATTCCCAAAGCCTCCATGATGTGGACTTGAAAAATTAGAAATATCATTAAATATTAATCAACATGTACTACATACAAGTTGATTATAATTAATGATCTTTCTAATTTTTCTACCTGCAAACTATGTACTACATACAAGGTTTGCAGGTAGAACAAATTGAGACTCCCATACTGTGCAAAAGACATGTCAGAATCAAACCAAGATGACAAAGAAGGTTACATTGTACGTGTATATCAAAAGAAACTAGCCAATGCAAACCCAAGTCTGTATGATAAGGCCTGTTACTCGCAGATAAAACTTACGTGGAACTTCTCTGACAACACCAGCACCCACTATGTTGAATCTAGCGCCGAATCACTTCCTGTTTAAATAAATTCAGCCAGTCTCCTCATTGGCTGAGCTTTTCTGGCACGCGCACCTGACTTTGAAGAAATATAAATATGCAACTATAATACGAATACTTTTTGTGGTTCTTTTGAAAGACAAGTTATATGTATTATCTTGTTAACACTTTGGCTGCAGAGCAAGATCAAGGTAATACATCTAACTTGTCTTTCAAAAAACCCACAAAAAGCCTTTTAACTCAAGACAAAATGAACCTTTTTGAATTATAATGCGAATAGTCAGATGCTTTGAATGGACAAATACGCTTTTTTAGATACATAAATAAAAACAAATACATACACAAATAAACAAGTACACCCCTTGCACTGCGTATACATAATACTGCGTAAATCTTTATTGTGGGGGCATAACCAGTGCATGCATATATATATATATATATATATATATATATATATATATATATATATATATATATATATATATATATATATATATATATATATATATATATATATATATATATATATATATATATATATATATATATATATATATTAGTCAAAACATCCTTTTTGTCTGTCAAAGTAAGGCTGATATGCACTGGTTTCGTATTACATTTGGCTTGGACCGGGGCTGTGAATATCCATGATACAAGCCATAGAACTATATTCTGTTATTATAATGGATCCACGTAAATCACACAGGATGATAATCCTAAATGGTTCGTCGTCATGTGGGCGGAAGTGGGTGACGTCATGATAACAGAGGCAGGGAGAGGCCCAGGCAGTGGATGTGACACGCTTACAAATACATTGGGAAAACAAGTCAGGGAGCGGCACTCAACAATGCTCGGACAACAAGAGCATTTTTAAGGTGTTTATTTGGGATTTGAACCGTGTTTGTTCCAGTCAGTCTCTGTCAGGGAGAGGCCAGACCATGGTGGAGCAGTCGGACCGAGCCCCGCTGCTGGATTGTGAGGAGATCCCACGTCCAGATGCGACCAGGGCGGCTTTCCCACAGCGAGACACCGCAGCGGAAAAGCGAAGTTCGCTGGCGGCTGTGCGTCCTCACGGCCGCACTACGGTGGACTCCACTGTCATCTGCACACCTAAGGGTGGCACAGTGGTTCGGATCGTAGAACAAAACCCGGCCCGTCCTCTACTGGAGCCCCGCGGACAGCGCAGGGAGCATCCCTGCTACCACAGCAGAGATCGCAAAGATGCGCTCTTCCCTGTCATGGCTCTGAGAGACCAGTGGGAGGAAAAAGATCAGATTGTGGCAGTTTTTGTGGTTACCTTTGATACAAGATCAGGTGAGCAGCTAATAATGTAAACTGTATAACGCCCATCCCTGTAATATCTATAGTAAAATGTGTTATACATGTCATGACGTTTACTGAGATATATTGTTCCACAGCGACCTGAACAGGAATAAAAGCATATGCTACAGACAGTTGGCTGTCTGATTATTCTTCCAGTACTATCATTCACTCCAACGGAGAGAGCGCAGGCTGTACACTTGTGTTTCTCGTCTTTCACCTCCCATTAAGTAATCTGTGTTTTTATTCCTCTTATTTTATGATGCAATCAACCGAGTGTATGAAGACATAACAGTCAAAAACACAGCTGTATCCTATTGCTTTGAATGTATGAGACAGCAGCAGGTGGTCTCTATTGCTGAGTCAGCCTGTTGTCTGTCCTTGAACTTTTGATACTGAGGCACAAGAGTAAGACAGGCTGAGAAAAAAGAGGAAGTGGTTGATATGAGAGTGTTTAAAATGGCAAGACTGGAACTAACTTTCCATTGATGTGTCTCTTTCTGAATCACAGGGAACATGGTGGAGTGGTGCTTGCCTCATGACGTCAGTCTGGATGGAGTTGAGTTCAAGTCGATGGCCAGTGGCTCTCATCGAATCAGTAATGATTTTATGTATGCAGCTTAATTTGTTACCCATTAGTGAAATTAGAAAAAAGCATATCCAAGTAATTGAGTTCCTGTTTTATTCTATTAGATATTTCCGCAAAGGCTGTTATTTTGGACTTGCCTGTTTTGCCAACATGCCGGTGGAGAGTGAGTTGGAAAGAGGAGCCAGGATGAAGTCTGTAGGAATATTGTCCCCGTCATACACTCTCTTGTACCGCTATATGCACTTCCTTGAAAACCAAGTCAGGTGAGTAGTTTTTGTGTTTGTGTTAGCAGCAAACAATAGCCCTCACACAATTAGTTTCATGTCCGCTCTGATGCTTGTGATTCTTTGTTTCAAATTCTATTAAACACAAATAATATTAGTAGTCCTGTGGTCCATTCATATACATTCACATAACTACAAATAATGAAAATTGATAACACGTAAAGGCCATTTTAATCTTATACAAAAGGTATTGTATGAAAGTATGTGCTTTGAATTCACTAAATCTATGCATGAATTAAATGATGTTTTGTCATGTAAGAATGCTTTTGACAAGTTGACACACATAGTTATGTATTATACCTAGTTATCACAAATGCTCTTTGTTTCCTCATAGACACCAATTGAAGTGTCCTGGCCAATACTCTCCACTAGAGGCTTTCTATGAAGACAAGAAAGCTGTCCTACCTCAAAAAGGAAATGGCCTTGTCAATGTCTGTCCAACTTGGAGTCTAACCAATGTCAATCGCTGCATGCACCCAGAAATGAAGGTTTGATTTTGTTTTTGTTAATATGGCTTATTTAGATTCTTATTATTTATGTAAAAATGTGCCACCAAATCTGACACTATTGGCTTGTCTGTTCCAACATAGATTACGCACCCAGCTGGCTGTATGTCCCAGTTTATCCAGTTTTTCGGAGAGCACATAATGGTCCTGTGGAAGTTTGCTCTGCTAAGAAAACGTCTTCTCATCTTTTCCCCTCCACCTGTAGGTGTGGTCTGCTACAGAGGTAACGGTTGAACAAATATTTTACATTTGAATTGAATAACTGCTTTATTTGAATAGACATATGATACAATATGTCTTTGTTCTACTGCAGTGTACTGCCTTTGCTGCCTGGCTAACATCTCCATACCTGGAATTGGCGTAACTGTTCCGGAACTTCGACCTTTCTTCTATGTTAATATCGCAGACATCCCTGCACTGCAAACAGAGCTGTCATATGTGGCATGTGCGTTTGATAGATTATATAAGAATTTACACACTATGGCTTTTATTAGTAGCTCGTATCTAACAATAATTTTGTGATTCAAGGCACGACAGAGAAAATATTTGAGGAGAAAAAGGATCTGTATGACGTGTACATTGACAACCAGAATGTAAAAACTCATAGGAGCCACCTCCAGCCACTGCTGCGGGTCAATGCAGCGGACAAAGAAAAGTACAGAAAACTCACGGAGCAGAGGTACATCTCCTGAATGTTTAAGTTTCCTCTGCAGCTAAAAACATCATTAGTATCTCTAATTATATGGTTTACTTTTTACACAAACATTATGTCCTAATAGTCTGTTTCCACTTGATCATAGTAATATTAGTGACGGCTGTTTGTGTTGTATGTCAATAGTTGGAACCTGTACATAAAAACAAACATTAGCTTTGTTTTGATATGAATTAAAGCTAACATATCTAACTTTCAAACCACAAAAAAGAACTGCATTAAATAGGGGTGTGACGATATATCGCAATACTTTCTACCGCGATTCGATTATTGATATGCATTTTCCAAGTATCGATATCAATTTTGAAAAAAAAATTATAATTAAATAAATAAAAAAATAGTTTTTTTACATAAAAAAAAAAACTTTATCAATACTTAATATATGGCTACATTACGCATCTCCATTCAGCATGAAATAAAGTGTATTTTTTCTTTTGTTTATGCCATAAATTGGCATATTGTATATTTCTGACTAAGAAATCGATAATTGTCATATCGTGATAAAATCGTTATCATGATAATATCGTTATCATGATAATATCGTTATCGTGATAATATCGTTATCGTGAGCTTTGTATCATGTATCGTATCGTATCGTGAGGTACCCTTAGGTTCCCACCCCTAGTATTAAATAAATCCATCTGATCCGTACCTCGTTCTCAAAACAGTTTTACATGCTGTCTCATCAGAATTTTGTTGACAAAAAAGTGAAAAAGAGGGGACCACCCTTAGTCAATCAACTCTCTGCCCAAAACTTCAAATAGTGAATCTCTTAAAGGGATCTTTCTCATAACTATGCAACAGTTTTGTAATACATGTTACCTTTACAAAACTTTCTGTTTAAAAATAAAAATAAATGAAAATGCAGTTGTATTAATTGTGATAAAAAGTTGGGTACCACAGCTTTAGATTATCATTGACACAAATTTAATATTTTTTTGTAGGCAAATGCTGTTGTACTCACAAGAGATCGACGCTGACTGCACCACAAATGAAGAGGATCTTTTCATCCTGTGAGTTTGCAACAGATCTTCCAACTGAATGAATAATAAAACATTATGCTCAAGATCTCTTTTCTCTCCCTCTCACCAGCTTTTTCATGGAGCTGAATAATCGCATTTTTCAGACGCTCTCAGAGGTTGCTGGGAGTATCGACCCTACCCTTACCTCTGAGCATATCAGGGCCATGGGACTGGACCCTCAGGGGGACCACACATTTCTGATGGGCCTGTTGGAGGTCTATGGTATGGACATAACACTGGTCATAGACAATTTGTGCTGCACATGAGTCTTTTGCCTTTTTACAATCCCTTTCCGAAAGAAGAAGAAGAAGAAAAAAAAAAGAAAACCTCGGAGGCTATTGGATACTTGTGCCTTTTATGGCCATTGCACCAAGACCCCAATGCCACTGCCTCCACCCCTGCTCCTACATGTTGCCTATTGGGTGGTCTGCTGCCCTATCGGTGTTTGATCAGACTCATGGACAGTGTTTGTGAATGGTGAGTTAACAATGGCGAAGACTTTTACACAACTGCTAATCTGTTTTGGGCTTTCATCTCACCGTCGCGCACAACACTCGCCGTTTGTCAGGCTGACTGGCGCCCAACTGACGCACTGGAAGACAATATTATTATTTCCACACGTCACTTCTCACAGACACCTTTTTTAATAAATATGTGTTGGAAATGTAATGTTTTTTTCCAGAAGCGGGAGGAGCAATCTGCAGACCTAACAAAATACTAACCAGTTTGATTGCATTCGCTCAAAGGGGTGGTCCAACTAATAACTATTAACGCAAACAAGAATACGTGTTTATACATCATTTTGACATTTTGCCACACTTGCCTTGTTGAAAAGGTAGCAAAAATAGTGATAACAATGTAACTAATCCACACAGATGTAATTTTTGGTTAGTTTGTAATATTTAACATGGTCATTGGTCATGGTTCTTTTTGATTTAGAGCAGAAAGATATATTATTTCATGCACTTTATTGGTGTAATCTCTGATGGTGTCGTACTTTGGAGACGGCTACATGTTTTAAATGATTATAAGCTGTGGATGTCTTTCAATGTTCAATGAATGTGAAGCTATAACTTTCACAGATGCTGCACCATGTCTGACACTGGACTGTTTCCTACACATGTTGTTTGTATACTATTGGGTGAGGATCTCATGTTGCCAGCAGGTTTATTCTAAAGTATGTGAGATATGTGAGAATTATATTGGGGGAAAAAAAAAGAGTCTTCGTTGTTGGAGCATTGGAGCTGTTTTCTAGTCTTGAGAGATAAACCCATTTGTCTCGTTGCCAAGAATATTGTTGTGTTTTTTGGTGGGGAGATGGAGATGACGGCAACAGCCAAGTCCTCCGCCATCGAAAATAATCTCACTGGAAAGCACTGTGCTGTGTTCTTAGCAACAGCTTCGAAGCAGCTCTAATGCAAAAACTGGGATGCACTCAAAAATGCAACGTCTATTTTGGAACCAGCTGTCGCCATTGGCCAATCCATTCGTATGGATTTTTTTAAATGATCTATTCTACATTATGCATAATTAATGAGCAGAGGAAAGTCGATGTAATTTTGTCTATATATTAGGTTAGGAAATGCTGAGTTTTATAAAGATTTATTAAATGATTTCTAGGAGGGTCAGTGAAAAGTGGTTTGAAAGATGTATCAAATGTGCGTTCAAGCTTTACTTCAAATGGGGCCTTATGGAAATGTCATTGTTATTATATTGTGTATTTACTAAAATGATTCTTTTCCTGACCACTATCCTAGAGTATTTTGACTTTTCTTTCCAATTGGTCCATATAATTCAGCTTTTTATATTTGACTTTGGGTTATATCAATTTAAATATTACTGGACCAAACAATAGTTGTAAAACATTCACACATTCAGCTTTAAGATAGCAATCGTTTCGTCCTTGGGTTCACTGAATGTCATAGAAAGTAAAGATATTGCACAATGGTGAAAGCATTTCCCAAATTCACAATTAAATCAATATTCACACACTGAATAGCTGTTGGAGTTGTCAATAGTGTTCACTGAGGTCATAGCATGGGCATTTGTTAATTCAACAGTACTGCCATTGTGAAACAATAAAACATTGTTACAGTCAACAGTGCCATTCAATGCTTCTGTGCAGTTTTCTATTTTGTGTGTAAAATATCCCTGTTTGTGTGAGTGAGCATGCACGATTATGCAACAGAATATTTTTATTTACATATTTCTAGATGGTATTGTATTACATTAAGATAGTTTTGCACAATTTGTATACTTTTCTACAGGTGTAGTTTGGGTTATATATATATATAATTTCATTAAAAAGCCAATAGATATAGCCGTTTTAATGCACACAGTAAGCAAAACATCTTTGCATTAAGTATATTTTCACAGTTGTATCCACCAGTTCATTCTTTTCTGTTTTCCTCTCCTCACTGCACCTCTTGTAGAAGCTGGTCACGGCGCTCAGCGTTAATAAAAAACTGTAGTTTCCTTGGCAACAGGCGTATTTCCACTGGCATAGCCTCATACTCCTCATTATCAATGTTGTAGAAGCCAGCAGTGCCCTGCAGGGAACAAAAAAAGTACAATAAATAAAAAAAATATTTACTTCACAACTGAAAAAAGAATAAAACATATCTCCAACCTCAGGCAAATGCAGCATGCATGCACTTGCTTCCACTTGTGAAGAAGCCTTGGTAAATAAAGATGGATCTTCTTCCTTTTTGGTTCTAGACAAAAACCATATCCACAGAGCAAATCGTTATGTACCAATTCGTATGTGAAATGTTGGCTGTTGTTGTAAATGTAAACTACTAACCCGACTGTGATGAACTCGCTCACACTGAAGTCATCAGGTTCTGCAGAGATGGCCATGGAGTCGTAGATTCGCTGCAAATAGCATTTGACGGATTATTACATGTTTTTTGACTGAGATTTCCTGGAATTTTACAAATACAAACCCTTGTAACTGGATTTTTGTTGTGTGTATGAATGCACAACTCATGTGTAGACAACTTTTTCTCCTCCCATTTCTCGGGCTCTTCAATTTTTGGTGGCTCTAAGCACAAAAACACCATACAAGTGCAAAATGATTGAAAATCCATTCTAACAGCTTATTAAAAAAAATCTACAGTTACCTTCAACTGGCGGGTTCCAGTAGTTTTTAAGCCTTCGTACGATGCGTTTCAGCAAATTAGGTCTTTGAGGCTTTTGAACGGGTAAGTCAGGGGGGCGAAGATTGGGAGGTAAATATGATACAGTAACCTCTCGCACTAAAGGCCACTCCTGAAGGAAAAGGACAAATTAAGATCATACAGTAATCACATATACATAGCATTAATCTAAATAACATCTGCAACCTCACCCTCAATGTCTGAAACCAGTGTGCAGCTTTTGTCTTCAGTGGCCCAAGATACCAATATCTATGAATAACAACTAATAAGTGTCTTTCTTACATAAACATGTGTGTTATAATAAATGCAATTACTTGCGAATAGTTGATGCTACATCTCTGAATGCGCCCCATCGAAGTCCCATGAGAGCAAAAACTGGCTGCTCCTTTTCTCCCTGCAACCAAAGGGAGCAAAAGTAAGTAAAGGAATATATACTTTTGATTATGTCTGTTATTCTCACTTTAATTTGCAGAACATCAAGTGGCACAGTTTCTCCTTTAAGAATTGAAAGTGTAGCTGAAATAATGTGTCTGAGAAAAATACATATCATCAATGAACATTGTGTTTTATGAAATAACATACTTTACAAAATAAAGACTACTTACTGAACTCTGTTGTCACTGAGAAGGTGAAGACTTGGGCTCAGAGAGTTGTGAGACCCAAGTGGAATGTACCCAATAGGTGTGTTGCTGAATTTGTCCTTAAAACAAAACAACAACAAGCGTGCTAAGTGATGCTGCATAGAGTACTTGCAAAAATAATCATTAAAATGTTTGCAAACCTGGTCTGGTCTACGTAGTAATCCTGTGATTACTTCCTGCAATGTTCCATCACCTCCAGCAACAATTAACATGTCAGTCTGTTCCATCAATTCTATTAGTTTTTTCCCTTGTCCTTCATAGTCGGTCTAAAGAAATGTCAACAATAGTGTTTGAATTAGTTGTTTTAACTAAAATGTTTGTAGCAACAGATGAACACAAACTGACCTTGACAATGGTAATCTCAACTCCGGCTAAGTGCAAAATAGGAGCAGCATTCTTTTCAAAAAGAGTATTGGCTTTCCTGGGAATTTGAGAAATATTAATGAGAGAACCATTATTTGTACCAGAGTGAGAAAATTGTTGTAGCACACATTACAAGAACAGTAGAATAAAAAGGAGCACTCAAAACATCTTACATTTGAAATATACAGCTACATAAAATTATATTACAGAAAATACATTCAATAAAGTTCTTACCCACTGGAAGCGGCAGGGTTTAAGATGACCGTAGCCTTTTTGAGTCGCTCTTGTGAACCAATAAGTTGATGGCCATACTCCTGGAGTAATATGAATTAATAACTATCATTAAGTATTGACAAATGATCAATGATATTGTATTTAAGGAATAGGAAAGTACCTTGGCTTTTAAACATGCTTCCCTTCGCAGAAGATTGTCACTAAACAAAAGAAAAACTAGTATTACAATTCCATATGAACATCACATAAGTCAGAAATCGTTGCATGTGGCCGTGGATGTGATTTACACTTAGACTATATTGACAGTATTTATGTCAATATATTATATTCTCTACATAAAAAGTCATTTTTTTCCAGAACATACAGTTGAGATAGATGGGTGTCCTGTATGAGTATGAATGGTATGGGTCTGAGCAATACAGCGTACTATGTCATGTAGCACCTTTCTCCTCCATTCAAAAGTTGTAAGGTACTGTTTATCCCTATGGTCCTAGTTGTTCCTCATTCTATAAACCGTATAGGGTTAAGGTTATATTAGTACCTACCAATGTTTTCCATACAGCCAGTATCCCCCATATGACAGGGCGCACACAGCTACTGTAGATTTCTTCCAGTGGTTCCGGAGAGTTCGAAAAACCTTAACAACTCGGGCCATGGTAATCACATTAAAAAATTACATTCCAGGCGTTCACAAACGTAGAAATATGTTGGAGATTACGGAAAACTGTGGAAAACCCTTCAAAGAACCTCTCTATCTAGCACCCTAGCATGGATGATAGTGTGCAACTCAAAACAGGACGGAGTACAACAAGGTGGCAAAACATTAGTACCGGTATGTATGGTTCCCACTAAATGTAATTTCATATTTTGTATGACTATTTTAGAAGAAATGTTCACATAAAATATAATGATTCAAATATTTGCCGTGTTCATACCATAGACTTAAAATATGTAATAAAGGCATTATTATTTTTTGACAACCCCAGGTAAACGAAGATTTCGCCTGTAATAAATACAAAATAACAACCAAGAGCACCTAAAACGATTGAAATTTTAAGTGGATTAATTTGTTTGTAACGTATTTATTGCATTCTATTTTTTGTTAATTTAGTAATAATATGAGAATATGAGGGTTAGTCTACATTTTCGACAGGCTCTACACTGCTGCTAAGGGGTCCTGCGGCCTGGGCTGATGATGGCGGTGCAGATGGCGGTTAATTCAGGTATGTTTTTCAATATTCTTATACCTAATGTCATATTCTAAAGTGTGGTGCCTTCATTTGATTAAATCTCAATTTGTATAGTTGCCTTTTCGTATCTATTTGTGGTTTGTTCAGTGTTTATCCTGGTGGTACCTATTCAGGCAGCTGTGCTAACGCTAGCTTAGCATGGAAGTCACATTTATCCCATCAACGACTTGTCTTTGAGTCTTGTTAGCTGCAGAGATTCCATGTTAAAGCAAATCACTAATACGTACTACCGGAGTACCAACTTCACTTTCACAAAAATGAAAATGAAACTATTATTGAATACCTAATGCTATGTGTTTGTGTGCGCGCGCGTGTGTGTGAATAGGAAAGGGGTTTGTTATTATCCAGTTCTGTCATTTATACATTGTACTGAAAAGACAGGGGCAGATCGACTTAACCAACCATGAAAGAGTAGTTAAAGCTGGTGTTACGAACTATGCTTCCTAAAAGATAATATGCAGTGCTTGTCCCAACAGATAGACATATGTACCTTTATTGTCCCCTGAGGGAGAATCAGAGAAGGAAATAGAATAATTTAATACACATGCTATTCAGGGACAAGAAGATTAAGAGCAGCTATGGCAGAAGGAACTCTTTTTCAGAATTTGGCCCGCTTCCACCTCTACGTTCTGTAACTGCAGCTGGAAGGTAGATAGTTTTGTGAAACTGAAACGTTGTGAACAAATTAGACCACTATATGTTGTCTTCATCGTATGAGTAAACCTTTGATCTTTGAAATTGTAATTCCTTTTTTTTGTTTTTAATCAAGCACTTTGAGTTGCATTGTGTATGAAGTCTGCTATACAAATAAACCTTACCTTGCGTATTTGATGCTTTGAGTTGAGAGCTGATTGGCTGAGTGATGGTGGTCCTCTCTAACTTTTCGGTCTGAAAAAGATGGCTTGTGTGGAACTGGAAAGCTTTGAAAAATTACTTTTGTCACTTGTTCAGGTACCAGTCTGTGGGGCTCACTCAAAGAGCTCTCGGAAACTGTGGATGGAGCTGTGCTGAGGAGGCAGTCGGACTGTGTCCATGTTCTTGATCTACTACTGAAAAAACACAAGCAACAATTTCTGCCACTTTTTAAGAATCCTGTAAGTGAAAATTTATTTTCCTCTAAACTTGCAAATTATCCCTCACTTTATTCCATGAATTAACAATATTACAGCCCAAGAGTTCAGATCAGCGAGAGAAAGTGCGTAAGGCCAGCACTGAAGGCATCACCATTCAGGGGCAGCAGGGTTCACGCCTCATCCCTGAGCAGTTGCTCACTGAAGCCTTCATTATCAGTGATCTATTTGAAATTGGAGAGTTGGCAGCATTAGAACTAATATTGGCAGGTACTACTATGACTTTTATTATTTCTTTGTTTTGTTTATTTTTCTTCGAACTTCATACCTTGGACCTTTTGATCCTTAGGTGAGCATCAAAAGCCTCATTTTCCTGGTCTATCACGCGGGCTGGTGGCTGTACTGCTCTACTGGGATGGAAAACTCTGTGTGGCCAATTCTCTCCGAAAACTTATTCAGACAAGACGTGGAAAAACATTTACCCTAAATTTAAGGTTTGAAGAGTTGATTTCAAATGAATTTGTCTTTTGACGTTTGAATAGTTGGTAAATAATATGTTCTGTGTTTTACAGTGGAGAGCTTGTGGCATTGGCGACGCGTTTCACAGATGACCTTATGAGCCAGGGACTGACCAAGCGCATCCTCTCATTAGTCTCTGACATCAGCGTAACACGCGAGTTTGAGCGACTACAGAAGGAGCGTGGTTTGGGCAATGAGAAACACAGAAAAGAGGTAGCTGCTCTATTATGGATTCAGGAAAAACATATAATTCTCATCCGTAAATTGGGTCTAGTTCAATGTTCTTTATTTTAACAGGTCTCTGACTTGATCAAAGACTGCAGACTGGCCCTGGCAGATAGTCTGTTTTCGTGGACATGCCAGTCACCTCTGTCTGAAGATGACACCCTGGCCCTCATTGGCCACCTGGAGACGGTTACGGCTCAAGCTGATGGTTCTTTGGATGACGTCAGCCTTGCTCTTGTCATGGCTTTACTCTACTGTATGGATGTCAGTTTTATAGAGCAGGGGACAGAAGATCGAGAAGGTAAATGCATATTGACGTCTTTGTGACTGATCTTCCTGTGTCATTATCAGATAGTAACAATATTGTGCTCCGTCAGATTTGCTCCAGGGTTTGCCGTTGCTCACAGAGAGGCAGTATGTATCTGCAGTTCACAATCGTCTACTGAGTAACCAGCCCTGGAAGCTTCCCGGACTGCAAGCAGTTTGTCGTCTGGCCTGGGCTTTGTCGCTAAGGGTCCTTTCACAGCTCCCCCAAGGATCTGGTACAGTATTTATTAATCTTCCTCCGCTAGATTCTCCTGGTATATTTCAACCCTTCTGCCTTTAGAAATACAGTAGCATAGAAAAACAAAAGCCTGATTAATTATCTTAATTTTAAAATTAATATTTTCCATTGTGTAATTTTCCTCTCTCTTTAGGCCTTGTTGAATTCACGGAGGCAGATGAGGTTCTGGTGGATCAGGCTTTACTTGGGGATGTCTTTCTATTCATGAGGGAGGGCATGTTGGGATGCGAGAGTTTCACCCAAGAAGAGTTTTACATCCGCCGACTTCATTCACTCATCACAGACTTTTTGGCTCTCATGCCCATGAAGGTAAAACGCTACATATTTCTAAGCAATGTTTGCTTGTAATAAAGGCCTAATAGATGTGATGTGTGTGGACTTGCAGGTGAAACAGCTCCGTAATCGCGCTGATGAAGATGCTCGGCTCGTCCACATGTCTTTACAGATGGATAGTGAGATTCCCGCATCTTTGCGCAAAGATCTCGATCACCTTATGACTCTAGTGAGGGTCTTTTGTCCTGTCCTGTATTTCTCATCAAAATGATGTTGATAATATTGACTATAACAAATTTCCTTTTAGATTGGAGAGTTTTACAGTAAAGACCATTTTGGATTGGAACTTGCGCTGGAGTTCTGGTGTCCCACTGAGTCCCTTCAGCACACCAGTCTGCACGGCTCCTACTTGGGAATGGCAATCCAAAGACCTCCACACAAACAAGTAAAAACTAGTTATTTGAATTGAACGTAGATTATTTAATAGAATCGCTCATTCTCCTAATTTTTTGTTTTTTACAGGTTGTTCTGTCAAAGTTTGTGCGACAGATGGGGGATCTTCTGCCCTCCACCCTTTACATTTCTTACCTGCACATGCTCAAAGGCCTGTCAAACGGCCCTCAGTGCGCCCACTACAGCTTCAGTCTGCTCAAAACCAATGGACCCACTTACAGTAATATTGCCTTGTTAATTTCCACCGTTATATATATATACACTTGTTTGCACATCAAATAATGATGAACACTATGTTAACAGGTGACAACATTCAAGGGGTGTCAGGAAGCCCAGTGTCGTGGGAGCACTTTTTCCACTCTCTCATGTTGTATCATGAGAACTTGAGAAGAGACCTCCCAAACCCAGATGCAGCTCACTATCGCCACCCACCAATAAGAGGAATCACCCAGAGAGAACTGGACGGACTCACTGCTTTTCTCGAGCTCCTCACAACTATAATAACTTGGGTATATATTTGTTACTTGTTTAATAGAAGAACATGCAATGCCAAGTTTGCATATGCACTCATTCATACTTGTTTTTCAGAGTGAGAATGCTCGACTGGCACTCTGTGAGCATCCGCAGTGGACGCCTGTGGTCGTGATGTTGGGTTTACTCCAGTGCAGTGTTCCACCAGTGCTGAAAGCAGAACTCCTCAATTGCTTGGCGGCTTTTGGGAAGTCTCCGGAGATAGCTGCTTCACTGTGGCAAAGTCTTGAATACACTCAGGTATGTTTTATAGTTCTTCTAAATATTATGTAATCTTTCTAGATCTGACCATGTTTTGTCCGTGCTACAGATTCTCCAGACTGTACGAGCTCCTGGGCAAAGGCAAGCTGCTGGACTTGAGGTGATGTTTAAAAATATATTTTTCTTAATATTTGTGTTTGTCCCTGGCACAATAGATGTCTTGTAATGTGTTAATCTTAAATTCCATAGGTGGAACTGAATGAAATTGAGTCGAGTTGTGAGGAGTACCCCCTCACACGAGCCTTCTGCCATCTGATCAGCACACTCGTCGAAAGCAGCCTTCCCCTTAATCTGGGCGCTGGCCTTCGGGTTCCAGGTTTCCAACCATATTTGAATTTCCTGCGGGAAGGCGTGTTCCTGCCTTTTCCAACCAGAGCATACAGGCGCCCTGGCGAGAAGGTAAAACACTATCACTGATGTTGTGAGAAATAATTTTGGACACCATAAGTTAAAACGCCTGTGGGTTTCTCAGTGGGAGGTTGCGGACGCTGTTCTGGAGGTGTTTCACAAGCTGTTGCGTGACTACGAGCCGCAGTCCTCTGACTTTATTCAGGAAATGGTGGAGCTACAGGGAGAGCAGATCCCAGCTCACAAACCTCCAGGTCACAGTATAATGTTCCACCTGCTCAACGACTCGCCCACACTGGCCCTCTGCCTCAGCCTGCTGGAGGAGGGCGTCCGGCAGCTCGACACCTACGCCTCGTTCCCTGGTGAGACGCCATGGTGCTGGTGTCACGGCGCACTTTAGTATCTTCTTAACATTTCCGTTCTCCTGCAGGAAAAGGGCACCTGGAGTCTGCCGTGCTTCACTGTCTGTGCTTGATCGACCTGGCTCTGCAGAAGCAGCTGGTGTTCATGGACCTCCTCAGAGAAAGTCAGTCCTCTCTGCTCATTTTTCCATTGGAGCAGCTGCTGCAGGGGGTGAGCTCTCAGACCAAAAGAGCAGACCACATTGTCAATATTGCGAGGTACTAAACTTTTTTTATCTATGTTTATTATTTAGTGTTGCATATTTGTAATTCAAAACAATAAGGGCGGCACGGTGGCTGAGTGGATAGCACTCTCGCCTCTCAGCAAGAAGGTCCTGGGTTCGAATCCCGGTCGGACCAGGGCCTTTCTGAGTGGAGTTTGCATGTTCTCCCCGTGTCTGCGTAGGTTTCCTCCGGGTACTCCGGTTTCCCCTACCACTAAAAATATGTCCAATAGTTCTAGCATGCGCCTCCTGTACTGGCGACCCTGCTCCCATCTCTGTGTGGAGTGAGAGACAAATGCCCAAAAGTAACAATTGTAAACCGCTTTGAGACTCAGATCTGCAGTGAAAAGGCGGTATATAAAATAAAAACTTACTTACTTACTAACATTTGTTTTTTTAAGGTACCTTTATCACAGCACTTCCAACCCTGAAGCTGCTTTTCAAAGTTCAAAGATCCTGCGGCATATTGCCAAATATCCTAACATTCAAACAAGACTTGTGGGAGATTTCACACATGACCAGGTATTACTGGGGGAGGGATATTTTAAAATTAAAATGATTTGGTATAAATCAACTCATTCTATCACTTTAGACTGTGAGCAACAAGTTGATGGCCGGTTTTGTAGAATGTCTGGACAATGATGAAGCAGAAGAGGGAACAGAGAAGGAAGAAGGTATGGAATGAATTAAATTTAATTTTAGATTTTTTTTAGATGTAACATTTACATTGTCATCCATATGTGCAGAGTTAGATCCACAAAGAAGGATTGGAAGAATCCGTCACAAAATCCAGGTTCATATTTTGAACCTCCTTATCACATCTCTGGAGCTAAAGACCCCCAATCTCGGTCTTTATCTTTTGGGATACGAAGTGAAGAAGCCAGTGTCTTCCACCAACCTCCAAGACCCAGGTCAGAGCCGAGGCTATGCTCTTGTTTAATATTTATGTTTCTGCTCAGAGGAGTTCTTCACTCTGCTGTACTTGCAGGTGTATTGGGGTGTCCCAGGAGCTGCTTACATGCTATATTGAGTTTGCTGCAGAGGGGCACTGAAAAGCGGTCCGGTCCTATACTCACTCAGAAAGCCCCACACTTGGCTGAACTCTGTTACCAGGTACCACTGATTTTAATATTGCAACAGACCTGGTTAACATCTCTTTGCGATTGTGCTTACTCTGTGACTCCATTCTCCAGGTAATCTACCAGCTTTGTGCGTTCCCCGACACATCTGGACCCACAATGCGCTTTCTCAGAACCAGCCAGGACTTCCTCTTCTCCCATTTGCAACACTTGCCTTTCATTCTGTCAAGTAAGTTATGAATCATAGAGCTGGTGTACTTAAGATTATTAAGTAAAAAGCATAGAAAATTCCAGCACAAGGCCGTTTTGATGAGTGCTTTTTTGCCTTCCCCAAGGTAATGAGATCGCTGCGCTCTCCCAGATGTCATGGCTCATGAAAACCGCAGCTATTGAACTAAGGGTGACCTCTCTAAATCGCCAGCGGTCGCACACACAGCGCCTTGTCAACCTGCTTCTGGATGATCAGCCTTACACTCAACACACAGGTGATTTGATTCATTATTTCAAACATGTCCACAATGTCAGGAGTGAAAAATAATAAAAAATAGAACAATTATTTTCTTCTTGTTTATCTTCGAATTATAGACTGTTAGCTTCACGCCGTAAGATGTGTTTCTTATATGGATGCTAATGTAGACCGTTTCTCTGGAAATTAAGGCATCTGACAATATCAAAATAAACAATGTAAGCTCAAAAGGGTTTGTGGGACACAAAATGTTACAGTTTACATTGACAATGTATTGTGATCTATTTTGTTATTGATTTGTATAGTCCTCTATCTCTTAGAAAGTATCAGGGTTCTAGCTTCACATCAACATTTGAAAAATAAGACTAATAAGATAAGTTTACTTTTTCTTAGCAAAAATCATTACATTATTCTGTGTGCTTATAGAAATAATTTGCTTGTAGTTGTTTTTAATTGGCTACATTTTGGAAATAGTCTGCTTTTTGTAATACACACAATTCTTGTTTGTAGCTGATGGAGAGTCAGGGATGGAGGAGGAGTCTCGATCTGTCAGCGGTTTTCTTCATTTTGACTCCGTCTCGAAAGGTCAGTTTTTATTTACTTAATCTTTTCTGAACTCCAATATTTGATGTGGTGTACAACTTAATAACGAAAGTGTATCGTTCTAGTGCGTAGAAAGCTGCTCAGTGTCCTGGATGCCATTGATTTTAGCCAAGACATGCCTGAACTGCTGCAGCTGGACTTCTTTGAGCGCACTCAGATCGAGCAGGTCATCTCCAACTGTGAGCAAGTCAATGATCAAGGACACACGGTCTGCAATGTCAAGGTACAACCTAGAACTCAACATTTAGAGATGGATTTGTTCTGGTTCTGTTGCTATAAACATGGAACTGTTTCTGGCAGTTGCTGCATCGAGTGCTGGTGGCTGAAGTCAATGCTCTGCAGGGAATGGCTGCCATTGGACAAAGACCACTGTTGATGGAGGTTTGTCGACTAAATGCACATCCACTTTATTTGTATAGCTCATCCAACAACTGGATAAAAGCAGACCTTAAAGTCACAATAATGAAAACGTTTGCAGAAACATGGGTTCATAAGGAGACACAAGCTTTGTCACATATAAACTCACAAACTCTCTGCACAGCTATGAAGGTGTCCTGATAGACCAAGTATTATTATTAACACTAAGACTAAGAATTCTGAAACTAATCATGATGACACCGAAATAAACTATATATACATATATAGAATGCAAAAAGTCACAAAGTTATGACGACAAAAAAGGTTCATACAAGAGTAGTTACACTTCCAAAACTAAAAGCAGGCTCTGGGAGTTCTGCTGTTTTTGTGTGTGTATTAAAATAAATGTTTCAGTGGTTTTCTTTGATGTAAGTAATCAAAGCTGCTGCTGTTTGGTTTGTAGGAGGTGAACTCCATCCTGCAGCAGGTGGTGGAACGGAACAGGGTGCGGCGGAGTCTGAACGCCAAACGCCACGCTCTTCAATCCTGGAGGAACCTGGTGGAGACGCTGCTCACTGCGTGTCCCTCAGACCTCATCCCAGCAGAGGACCGGCAGCTCATCATCAGGGACCTGCTGCTCGACCTGCACGACAAGGTTGGAAGAGACGCCTACTGCAGTTTGATTATAAAGGGCGATATTGTCCGGCAATGACGTCATAATTGGACATTTTAGTAATGATAATGACATTTCTGATGTGGAGGTCTGGGATTGTGTCTCAGCAGAAGATATGTGTGTTATTGTTGTTAAATAGTATTGGCAACATGATTCAATTGAAGTAAATAAGTTTGTGTAGCCGTAATTCACAGCAGTTGTCATGAAGGACTTGACAAAATAGTCTATGACAAAAGATTTGAGAAACAAACATGAAATGCAATATTAAGAAATGTATGTCATTACGTTAAATTGAATAGATAAGTTTCTTTGACCTTCAGATAACGATAAGATCAAGTGTAAAATGACTTTTTACTCTTTACACTGGTGTAATGACTGAGAAATGAAAAGATCCGTAATGACCTGGACGTCTGCTCGCTGCAGGTGTTGTCTGAGGACGCTGCAGGCGAGCTCATGCCCATCGTGGCCGGTGCAGTCTTCACGCTGACCGCTCAGCTCAATCAGTCCGTTCTGTCGGAGCAGCAGAGCCCCGCGGTCACAACCTCCTCTGGCTTTGCCTCCATCGCAAACTCCTCTCTCCACCTGATCCTTCGCAAGCTGCTGGACTTTATTCTTTCTACCGGTGAGTTTTGTGTTCTATTTTAATGGTTGGGTAAAAGAGGACTCCAGCCCCTGTATCGAATCTTTTAGTAGTTCTTCACTGTCTGATGTGATATGGATGTCACGGTTTCAAATATTTAACCCAATGGTTATTGCAAGATAAATAATTAAAGAATTACTCACACTGGACACCTTTAGAAAATCATGTTGATACTCTAAGCAATGCACCCGTTGATAAGTCAATATACCAGTTTGCTTTCTAATGTATGTGCAGTGATAGATCTATGACTGTACACACATTGTACACAAAAAGTATGCATTGCGAACTGTTCGAAGGGAGTTTTCATTTATCATTGACCAATACCCCATAAATGGTTTCTGTTTTTAAATGAAAGTCCTCATAAAAGTATCCGTTTTTGTAGGCGGTGGATACCAGCGATTACGTGCTCACCTCTACGGCTCTTTACTGTACTACCTTCAAATCGCCCAGAAACCAGAAGAACCCGACACTTTGCAGTCGGGTAAGACACATGGTTTTTTCATGTTTATTTTACATCATGGCAAATGTTCTGGTCTTTATGTGGTGTTGTATATTTCTTGCAGCAGGGAATGCGATGTGGGAGCGTCTCACGTCCCCAGAGGATACTTTCTCTAAACTTCAGAAGGAAAACCTCCTCATTATTGAAAACTACGGAAAATCTCTGATGGAAGTGGTTTGTCGAGATGCGTGTGATGGCCATGATATTAGCAGGGTAAAGAGTGAACCCCTTTTGTGACCCAGATGTTTAGAGGTATTTAATCATCCATTGGTGACAGAAGGTGTTGTGTCTCAGATGCTGGCCTTGGCGGTGCTGGACAGAATTCTCTCCATTGACCGTCAAAACCAGTGGCTCTTGTACATCTGCAACAGTGGGTACCTGCGGACACTGGTGGAGAGTCTGAGGCAGGATGATGGTGCCCTGCAGAGCCTACTGAGTCCACAGCCCCCCCTCTTCAAACCACTCTACATTTATGAGAGCAAGATGGTGAGGAGTCCACAGCCTGAACACCTCGCTCTGTATAATTATATAGCAGTATAATGTGTGTGTGTGTGTGTGTATGTGTGTGCGCACGCTTTAGGCCCTGCTCACTCGAGTGGCAAAAACAGGCCAGGGCGCCGTGGAGCTGCTGCGCTGTGGACTGGTGTCTCACCTCACGGAGTGTCAAGTGTTTGACATGATTCCAGACAGTGATGCCCACAGGTGCAGTACAAGTATTGTGTATTAATATGTTTGTGTTTTTGTGTGTAATCACTTTTTTCTCTCCTATATTTAGAGTAATGAGGGATCCTTCAGGCTTCATCCCTAGCCCGATGGACCGCTATAGACAGATACTTTTGCCTGCATTAAGACTCTTTCAGATCATCTTGACTTCTACCACTATGAATCACCAGCAGGGGGCAGCACAGGCATGTGTTTTTTTATTTTTATTTTTTTTATTTTTTTTACGGTTACCGGGACCCAGTCTTTTAGCTTATTTGTCTTTGACTTATGTTTACAATGAAACCTTCAAACACCTGCAAACTGAAAAAAATATAACATTTTGGAGATTCATAATTCTGTGTTGAAATTCTAATTGGAAGTAATGAGTCATTGGAGTAAATTGATTAATTGGTGTAAATCAGTCACCACTGGTTCTCAACTTCACAAATCCATATGTTTGTACTACTGTGTCCTAAAACAGATTCAGTTTAAATAGTTACTTTTGACATCAAGGGTTGAATATCCAGTGAAGTTTAGCTTAGAATACTCACTAATACTTTTGAATTGTAGATTCTTCAGTGGTTGATAGTCCACGCAGACACCATTCAGTCTCTGCTGCGCTGTCAGGAGCTCAGCATGGGGGCGTTACAGCAGCTCTCTCTGCTCACCGGCATCATCAGTAAGACTGCTCTGCCAGGTACAACCATTACGTCATATTGTATCATTCTTCTTCTTATTGTCTTTTTTAAAAGTGTGATGAAATGTTAATTTACTCACAACAAACAGGTGTCCTTGAAATGGGTGAAGTCAGCAGTGCGGTGCTTATGGAGTTTCAAGGTCACATCACAAGATTCCAGGTTTTTGTTACTACTTTAACAAGTGTCCCCATTTGTGGGTCTTTTAATCCACCTATTTAGGCCCGAGCCCCGAACGGGGTAAGGGCCTATTGCTTTCACAATGGTGAAAACAAATGGTGGCGGTGCGTGACGGACGCGTCAGCGCCCGTCACTCACCAAAATGTGACAGTTGCGTGCGTAAACTCAAAAGCTTTAAAATGATGTATCACATGCCATTGAAACCTATATTGTTTTTGCTCGAGACGTTAACAAAAAAATTCCTTTTTTATTTATTTATTTCTTTCTTTCTTTTTTCTTCTGCACTTTGAGCCTTAATTTGACCCCCTGAACATGCATGAAAAGTTGTTAATTTTGGCCCAAAAATCAGACCTGGCGAAAAATTTGATATTTTGGTGTTTATTTTTATGGGACTCAAAAAATGACAGAACAGCGCCACCTACAACAGCCAAAATAATACCCCTATGGGACTTTTCGGAGGTCAAAATTGTCGTAGAAACATGAGATTTGGTACACATGTTTCTCAAGTCAAGACAAGAAAAAAATATTATTATGGCCCCGCCCTCTGACAAACAGGAAGCCCATAAATTTCACTGCAAAATGGAAAAATGAACAGCAAAAGTTTTCATACATGTCGGTTGGAAAGCGACTCTTCCTCGGCCGTTTCACCGATTCGCCTCAAAATCGCTCCAAATCATCTCAACACATGTACCTTCAAAATGACCTCAGGGATTTTTGATCAGTGAAACATTGTTCGAGCAGCGGAGCGGCAAAATGTGACCTTTTTTTGGCCGTTTTTGACAACATTAAATTTGCTCCCGTTTGCACATACAAAGTCTGATTTGCACAAAACTTTAATACATTGTTCAACTCTAGGGTCTAGGTCATTTGAAAGTGAATTTATTCAAATTGACACATTAGCGCCCCCTACAGACTATTTCAAAGTTTTAGATGGGCATTTTCAAATTTAGTTTTTTCAAAATGTTTGAAATTTTTCACATACATCTGTTTTGCCCTCTTGATTCAAAAAGTCAATTGGGTCCAAGGCTTATTTTTAACCCAGTTGCCGTGGCGACGAAGAAACGCTCCCCATTCATTGCAAATGTACACCTCACACAAACATCAAACCAGCCTCGGCCGTTTCACCGATTCGCCTCAAAATCGCTCCACATCATTTCAACATATGTTCCATCAAAATTACTTCAGGGAATTTTGATCAGTGAAACGTTGTTTGAGCAGCAGAGCGCCAAAAAGTGGTGTATTTTTTTTCAGTTTTTGACAATAGAATATTTTTTTCCGTTTGCACAAACAAAGTGTGATTGGCACAAAACTTGAATCCATGGTTCAACTCTTGAGTCTAGGTCAATTGAAAGTTCAAATTTTGAAATTGGCTCTATAGCGCCACCTACAACAGCCAATTTAAAAATGCCTATGGGAGGGGTTCAAGGTCAAAATTGCCGTAGAACCATGTAATTTGGTACACATATTCCTCAAGTCAAGACATGGAAAAAATGTAATTATGGCTAAGCCCTCTGACAAACAGGAAGCTCATAAATTTCATTGCAAAATGGAAACATGAAAACCAATCATTTTCATACATGTCGCTTGGAAAGCAACTCCTCCTCGGCCGTTTCACCGATTGGCCTCAAAATTGCTCCAAATTATCTCAACACATGTACCTTCAAAATGACTTCAGGGAATTTTAATCAGTGAAACGTTGTTTGAGCAGCGGAGCGGCAAAAAATGACCTTTTTTTGGCAGTTTTTTTACAACATCAAATTTTCTGCCGTTTTCACATACAAAGTCTGATTTGTACAAAACTTTAATAAATCGTTCATCTCTAGGGTCTAGGCCATTTGAAAGTGAAATAAATTAACTTGGCTCATTAGCGCCACCTACAGATGGGGTCAAAGTTTTCAGTATGGGAGCGTTTTGAGGTCAAGTTTGATGTATAGGCATGAAATTTGGTACACATGTTCCTCTTCTAGAGACATGAAATAAAAGTTATTATGGCCCCGCCCCCTGACAAACAGGAAGCCCATAAATTTCACTTCAAAATGGACAAATGAAACATGACCTTTTCACACGTGTCGGTTGGAAAGCGGCGACTCCTCGGCCGTTTCACCGATACGCCTCAAAATCGCTCCACATCGTCTAAACACATGTACCGTCATTTTGATTTCACAGACTTTTGATCAGTAAAATGTTGTTTGAGCAACGGAGCGCCAAAAAGTGGCGTATTTTTTTTCAGTTTTTGACAATGAAAAATTGCTTCCGTGTGCACATACAAAGTCTGCTTTGCACAAAACTTGAATCCATGGATCAACTCTTGGGTCTAGGTCATTTGAAAGTAAAAAAATTGAAATTGGCTCTATAGCGCCACCTACAACAGCCAATTTAAAAATGCCTATGGGAGGGGTTCGAGGTCAAAATTGTCGTAGACCCATGTAATTTGGAACACATGTTCCTCAAGTCAAGACATGGAAAAAATTGTATTATGGCTAAGCCCTCTGACAAACAGGTAGCCCATAAATTTCATTGTAAAATGGAAAAATGAAAACCAATCATTTTCATACACGTCGGTTGGAAAGCGACTCCTCCTCGGCCGTTTCACCGATTGGCCTCAAAATTGTTCCAAATCATCTCAACACATGTACCTTCAAAATGACTTCAGGGAATTTTGATCAGTGAAACGTTGTTTGAGCAGCGAAGCGGAAAAATGTGAGGGTTTTTTTGGCCGTTTTTGACAACATTCATTTTTTTCCCGTCTGCACAAAGAGAGTCTGATTTGCATTAAACTTGAATCCATTGTTCAACTCCAGGGTTTAGGTCAGGTGAAAGTGAAATATTTGAAATTGGCCCATTAGCGCCCCCTAAAGACTGAGTCAAAGTTTACATGGGGAGCCATACCAGCTCTGCTTATCATATTCCTTACAATTTGACTAACAATCTTCTATGGCTACGGAAACAAATCATCACACGGCGGCGCCACCTCCTTTGCGTAGTGCTGCGTGGTACGGTGTGGTGCGGCGTAGTGCGGGGCGTTGTGGAACGGCGTGTTGCGGCTTGGTGCGGGGCGGCTTGATGCGGGACGGCGTGGTGCAGGGAGGCGTGGTGCAGGGAGGCGTGGTGCGGGGTGGCTTGGCACGGGGTGGTGCGTGCGGTGCGGGGAGTCGCGCGGTCCGGCGAGGGCCGTTCGACGCCGCTTGCGGCTTTAATTGTACTTTTGTTTTTGTAGCGCCTGAGTCTGTCTTTGCTCAGTCGCCTTGCTGGAAGTGAACGTGAGCGATTACTGAAACAGGCAGAGATCAACGCACCTGGAGAATCAGCTGAACAAAGAGAGGAGATGGAGGTGGCCATGCAGCAGGTCGGCTCAACAAGACCTCCCCAATAAAACTTAACTTTATAACGGCGACAAACTTCCACAATTCTAGACTGTGAACTGAGTGTGTGTTTCTGTAGGTTTGTGCAAACATCATGGAGTACTGCCAGACGCTGCTGCTGCAGAGCTGCTCCCAGGCTCAGTTCAGTATCTGCCTCTTCAGTCCGTCTGGCAGCGAGCCGGCGGGCAGAGACGGAGGCCGATCAGGTCAGTAAACATGTTCTACATGTTCGCAGGATCTGACTGTTTGTTCACTAAAGCTGACATGAATGTTATTCCAGATTTGTCTTCAGTGCCTCTTATGTCGTCCTCACGAGCTCCAAGCCTGGGCCTGGTGCTGTACCTGCTCAAGAACACAGCTACAGACTTCTTCCGCTTTCACCAGAGCCACAGACAGAGTCTGAGCAAACTGCAGAGTTTGGATCAACTGCCCCCTGAGGAGCTGAAGGAGGTGCTACGTTTGGACTACTTTACATTAAATGAACTGTACTCCGTGGTTCTTTTAAGAGGTCGTAACCACCAACACTTTGTTCTTTTATACAGCTGTGCCAAGGCCTTGTAGCTGGTCCAGGAGCAGTTGAGAAAACTTCTTCAGTTCAAAGAAGTCTGCTGGCAAAGAAACGTCTCGTCCAACTTGTGAACAACAGAGCCAAGCTCCTGGGACTATGCTCGTGTATCCTTATATTGATTAGAAATGTATTTTCTCCAGGTCTATAGGTACAAACATGTAGCAAGAGATACAATATTGCACAACATTGTTTTTCATTAAGCCTTGACTTGAGGCCAGATATCATTGAAACTTGTTTGTTTGTTTTCTGGCGCCACCTGGAGTACTACTTGCTACACTGTACTCCCAATGACCCCAAAGACACTCTGATGCCTGGATCCAGTTTATACAGATCACGGCTCAGAGATGGTAAGGAATATTGTCAATGCAGCAATGGCGGCCTACAGCCTTTGAATGAAGAAACTAATCGTTCCTTTTCTGTAGACGTGTTTAGTGGGCTGCAGTCTGGTGGCAGTCGTGGTCTTTCTCGTGTGAGCCAATCAGATCTGGACCTGGTAAGTTTCTTTATCGTGTCCGCACAGTTGCACCAGCAACACCTGACCGTTTTTCTCTGAATGCAGCTCAAAGGAGACATGGCGGCGGGCTTTGGAGAGGCGCTGCAGAGGAAGCTGTTGGAGGTGGAGGCCTTGTACAGCCAGGTCCGATCACGCTATACTTTCATCCAGGCCCTGGTGCGCCGGATCCGCGGCCTTGTCCGACCGACCAAGAGCTGAAGGGGAAATGGACCGACTCCATGTCATTACTCTGACAGCAGAGGGCCTTTTACAGACTGATTTTCCAGAGTTTGAGGACATTTACTTCAATATCTGTAATGCCAATCTAGAATTCATTTGTTGAAATCTAAAAATGTGTATGAAGTTTTTACCAACGGCAAATTTGATTCCTGATTTATGTAGCAGGACAAATAAAATGTTTTCTATATTGTTTAAAATATCTTGTTGTAAAATGTTTTTAATCATCAACTCCATCCAAGTCACACATTCATTATATTTTACACAAAGAAACACGATTTGGGCTCCATAAACCTGGTTTAGCTTAGTTTTATTTTGATGAAAATACACTCTTGACTCAGAAGTGCAAATATGTTCCTTCCTTTGGGAGGGTTAGTTTGATTTTTACATTCAGAATTGTTAACCAGGTACATCTTTGTGCTGTTTATTTGAATACTGAGAATGGAGAGCACCAGCATTGCAATGGTTTATGTAGAAAAGTATAGGCACATATCCATTCTCTCGAAAATTTTGTCGAAGTAAAAATACATGTAGTAGCTGACAATGGAAAACATGTGCTATGTCAGATCATGCTCCTCTATAAATTACTATAAATAATACAATTAATTACAGCCATTTAACATTTACAATTTCTTGCACCATCTCGCTAACAATAGCTGTGATTGCGCTAAAAAAAAAAAACTTCCTTCGGGATGTGAGTGTGTGTGTTCTCATATTTAAGTTCCAAGCCTTATGATTGTTAAAGTTTGATTCATTTGTCGGAACAGCCTGCTAAACTGGGCCTACATTGAACATGTACACCTAAACTGAATTTGTACATAACTTAAATAATATATTACTTAATAGTATCACCCAATAAGATCGAAGGCTCAGGTGGGTTAACAGCGACGCTTCTGAACAACAGGCACATAGAGTCCAACGTTCAAAACCAAAGAGAACAATGAAATCCAGACATCGCGGGCAAACGACAAATACTGTATAGTTTCATTTAAGCACGTTGCTATAAAAACGCTTCAGAACCTCTTATGTACATGCGATATTTTACAAGGCTGAAACTCGACGCTAAAAGCTCTAAATCCCATGTGCAGGATTACAGTTAAAGTTTTACAACATTAGAACAAACGGCCAGAAATCCCTCTTCTTCACACTAGTGTTGATGATTGTACCAGATGTGTCTTCTCCAAATCCAGCAATTAAACAGGATCCAGTCACAAACACGGAAATATATCATTGCAAGTGTACGTATTTTCCGTGTTTTCGTAGTCAATCGTGCAATCTTCTCCTATGTGGTGTCTGTGTCTGTGACCGCTTCCTGTGTTGTGTTGTTATTGTCTGTGATGCTGCTGCCGTTCTGCTGAGGGCACGTGTCCCCCGTCACCGCCACTCGTATGACTTTGAGCCAGCGCTGCTTCAGGTCCTCGGTGTCCGCGGCGAAGTTGTGCACGGATATGGACTGCGTGAGGCGGAAGCTGGACGGGGGGTCTGAGGGGCGCGGGGCCTCGTCCACGATGTAACCCAGCAGAGGGATGGAGCACTGTGCCTTCACGTCCTGCACAAACGCAAAGAAATGTTAAGAATAAATAAGCGTGGGAGCTGACTACACTCTGGAGGTGACGACTGGTTACGGCTCTTTTTTAATCTTCATTGGAAGCATCAAGATCGAAAGTGACAAACTGCATTAGACGGAATCAATGCAAATCAATATTTACATGAAATTCATACAGATAAGGAATAAGTGGAGGTAATGAGGGGAGGGAGCGTTCTAATCTGATTTAATACATTTTGGGGTGTGTGTAAGTCACTGTTATGGCTTGATATTGTCACAAGTGTTAGTGAATTCAATTATTGTTGTGAAAGACTGTTTTTTGTTAATAATAATACATCAAACTAGTATAGCGCTTTTTTGGTAACTCAAAGACGCTTCACATGGGGAATAAAATACAATAAAAATAAAAAAGGGGTTTACGGAGAAGCTTGTTTGAAAAGAAGGTTTTGAGTACTGATTTAAAGGTCCAGAGTCCAGACCAGAGTCACAAAGCGGTTTACAATTGTGGGCATTTGTCTCTCACTCCACACGGAGATGGGAGATGGGTCGCACGCCAGACCTATTGTACATGTTTTTAGTGGTAGGGGAAACCGGAGTACCCAGAGGAAACCTGCGCAGACACGGGGAGAACATGCAAACTCCACTCAGAAAGGCCCTATTCCAACCGGGATTCGAACCCAGGACCTTCTTGCTGAGAAGCGAAAGAGCGATCCACTCAGCCACCGTGCCGCCCGTAAAGCCCGTGTGTTATGGGGCTTTGAAAGAGAGCGTTTTCTTCCACTGAGCGGGCCTGAGTGTGTGCATGTCTGTTCTCCTGTCACCAGAGCGTGACCTTCTGCCTGGACTTGGTTGGTTCCAGGCAGGGCCACGGTCTGTCTGCTCTGTTTCCATCCTGCATCATCCTCACCCTGGTAACGGCTCTGAAATGTTTTTCTGTTGAATGTTATTGTTGAAATTCTATGAAGTAAGGTCTATGTTTCCGGATCTTCAAAAGTATTTGCCAGAAGTCTGTAATTTTTCTCATTGTGGGACTAATAAAGGTATGATCATTCAACTAGAAACAATTACATGTGATTCAGTCAAATGTAATGCACTATGTGTGTGTTTGGCCCTGTCACCAGATGGTTGTTGACAAAGACGATATCAAAATATAAACCCCAGGATCACAGAGAGCCCAAAATGGTGAGTGTGAGTTTTTTTTTAAACATATTTTTGTGTTTCAACAAATTAACTGTATTTGACATGAGTCTGGATATTATTTTCAAGTAGATTTGGATTCAACCTCAACTGGGCTTAATATCAAGAAGAGATATATTTCCTTTAAAATAATAAATCATTAAGTAACTATAACTTCAACTTACAGTACATTTTAGTTAACATTTTGGAACAGATATAATGCATATTGTATAATTGGCTTAAAAATTAATTATAACATGCCATACTTGCCCATCACCATCAAAGCTGCAAATCTCTCTGATATGATAATTTAATCATTTCGTCAGCCACTAAAAATGGTCTCGAAGGTTTTTTCATTCTTAAGTTTGACGTGCCTGAGCTAGAGGTGTTAGCATTGTCCATCTATATACATCTGTGTGTGTGGAACCAGGCCAAATGGATGAGTACCTGCGGCGCTCCGTAGAGGTAGAGCACGAAACATTCCTTCTCGGGGATGACGCACCACACCCTCTGCCACGGCTTGTTGCTCTTCTCACAGTACTGAAGGAAGCCGCTCATGATGCTGTTGGCTGAAAACTCTGCTGCCTCGATCTACACAAAGAGATAAAACCACAGCATATTAAAATGGCTTTCATGAATATGACGTTTGCCGACCAGCAGATATTTTTGTGGCCGTACCTCCAGAATGCCTTTCTTCTTGTTCTCCTCCGACACTGTGACTCCCTTCAGGATTCGGTAACAGTCTTGACAAACTTTGTTGATCTTGTTGTTGTCGTATTGAAGTGCGACTTTGTTATCAGAGCATTTCCAGCACACCACCTTCAACAAGAGACACAGGACTGGTTATAAATGCTTCTGTGGTTTGTGTATTATTGTTGTATCATACGGTAAGAAAACAAGTCAGAACCATGGTGAGACATTAAAACACTCAGGGCCCAATTCAATTTCAAAGGAAAAATTTGATGTTTGGAGAGAATCATATGGGATAGTAATATACAATTCTGACTTTTTTAGAGAGAGAGACCTTCACAGACAATGCATTCTGGGATGTTGCAGATTTGCAACATTAGCCTGCTGTGGCAAATAGAGATGACCTTGGGAAAAAACCCAGAAGAGATATAATCTACTAATTGACTATGTACTGTATCTATATATATTCATCTTTCATTGTATGCAGTTTTGGTTACAAATTATTGGAGGTTGGTAGTGATACTGACTTGAAATTGATCAGTTTTGGTGAAACTAAGAAGACATTTTGGAAGAGAGAAAGCTCCGCCCCCTGGTGAGCAGATGGAAAGGTGTGTTTTGCTAAAGCTCCACTAAGTGCAGCAGTGGAAATTAGTAAATAAGGGTCAAAAGTATGGATGTGGAGTAGTTAGGTAATAAGAAAGGAAGTTGTTGCAAATCTGCAACGCCTGCCTGGAGAGGGTAAAAACTATAATAAAAAAACTGTGGGAGGAAGGTGTGAGCCATTTGTACCAAAAAACAGCAAACTCAAGAGTATAAGGACAAAGGACTTACATATCCACAGGCTCTGCAGTGGTGTCGGCGGCGTGTCAGTGCATTGAAATTCTCTTTGCATTTCATACACATGGTGACATCATTGTCCCGGATCCAGCGAGGGGCGCGCTTCCCCAACTCATCCTTCTGCAAAACAGATCATTGAATAATTCATTACAAAATACATTAGTAACATAGGAGAAAGTTGTAGCTTATTCTAAAATCATTTCAGAAAGTAATTATTGCAAATATCAATTCATATAATATCAACTTTCCCTTTTTTATGATTGAAGGAGAGCCAAAAATTAATATATTTCTGTGATAAATGTCAAGATGGATTATATCAGCAACAGTATCAGAGCTCACTTCTCACATGAAGAAGGCTTAAAGAACACTTACCAAAACCTCCACGTCTTTTGAGGCATTCTTAAACGTCTCATTCTTTTGCTGGAAAATGTCAATAGTTTCCCGAAGAGCCTGCAAATATATAGAAACGTATAAGTGGCGATGTACGTTCTCCAAAAAGTAAAAAAACTGTGAAAAAGGTAAATATAATGACCTTAATCCAGCTGGCCTTGTCCATCTCTGAGCTGTGAGGGGGGAATACAAATATATATCAAATAATGTGTTTCTGTTTGTAATTACTGTGTGCGTTCCATGAAATTAGAATGTTTTCCTTGAGTTTCATGTGAAAACCCGGGTGTGTTTGTGCAGCGTTCCTAAATGACTTGCTGAAACTAACAATTACATGTAATCACACACTGGACCATGAACGAGCAGTTTGGAGGATTTAAAACACTCACAAAAAACATGAAGACAAAAGGGACCAACCTGCTATTTACAAAAATACATCTTTTATTCATTTATTTGTGTGCAACTACAAATGTGTTATTTTGTTTTCATTACTTGACTTCAAGATTCATTTCTTATTTCCAGTAACTTTGACTGACCTTGTTACATTCACAGTATTACGAACAATTTCATTATATAATTTATTTCAATTGGAAGATGTTTTGTGTCACAATTCACACAATCAAAAAGATCTATTGTAGCGCAAAATATCCAAATCTATATACAAAAATATCTGAATATAACTTCTTTAAGCTGAAATAAGTCCATTTATTTTCTCAAACAAACGGGCGACAGTAGCTCAGTTGGTAGAGCATTGGCCTTAAGGCCAGAAGGTCATGGGTTCAATTCCCACCTCTGCACCTTCTCCACCGACTCCCACTGATGACTGCTGTCGTTGTGTCCTTGGGCAAGACACTTAACCCCACTTTGCCCAAAGCCCCCACTGAAAGATCAAGGCTATGCTCACACTCAGAGAGCAGCCGTCCTCCTGTGGACTCACCACCTGCAGAGGGTCAGTGAGGGGCTGGTGCTATGAGACTTGGGTGGCATCTCTGATTGCCACCCCCCTGACCCAGAAATGGATTAAAGGGTAGAAAATGGATGGATGGATGGATATTTTCTCAAACTTTGTGTTAAATCTTAAATGTGACCACCTTTTCTGAATCACATTTACAGAAGTAATAATGGGAACAATTACACCATGCTAAATCACATATTGTGTTCTTTTGACCTGATTTCACATAAATGCTGTGAAAACTTCTCAAATTATTATCTTGAGATTATGTAGTGCCCCCATTTTGAGAACCAGAACCACTGTATCCATTATCAGCTGAGTGTGTACCTGGCCTGTAGCTCCAGAGCCCGCTCTTTGCCCATCACTTGAAAAGTATGCGGATACTCGTCATTGACGGTTTCCGCGACCTGCATCCCGTCGATGCCGATCCGCGTCCGCACCGTGAACTTGGGCCCCCCCAGGCTGAACTTAGGCACGCAGTACAGCAGCATGTTGTTGAACTACACGACAGGACACAAGGGTTATTTTATATACACTTTACTAATGAATGGGGTTGCAAAATTTTGGGGATTTTCCATAAACTGGAAATGTTCAATATTGAGTTGGCTCCTCACAGGGAACTTAAATATAGTTGAGGAAAGTATATTTTAGCCTAATCTTGAATGAAACAACAAAAGCCATTCATACTTTAATATTCATTCCTCAATCAAATGCAAATACCACAATACTACTGTGCACTCCATGAAAAAAGTTTGATAAAATGATCAAAACTTGTTCTGTTCTATGCACTAATCTGTTGAAAATATTTAGCATAAGATAAGATAAACCTTTATTAGTCTCACAGTGGAGAAATGTCAGTGTCATTGTTGCGCACATTACAGCAGAGAAAGGAAATAAGAGCACTCAGATTGCACACATCAAAGTCTATTATTTAAGATAATAGACAATACATTTAAGATAAAATAAAATAAAATAAGATAAACTCTGGGCTATAATTGCACTTGGTTTGGAGTATTTACAGATGTCTATATTATACATTAGCAGCGGAGAATATGAGAATATGAATATGAGCAGAATAAACATCAGAAATAATATCAACAGGTAAAGTGACTTGAATGGGAGAATTATCAGATGGATATGAATAATACAGTAAGATATCAACAGGTAAAGTGACGGTGAAAGGCAGCATTATCAGATATGAAATAATACAGTAGTACTGATAACAGTAAATATCAGATATGTAATACTGTAGTAGTACTGATAACAGGTAAAGTGACTAGTGACAAAGTTACTAGTGAATTATCAGAAACACTTGTGCAGACTCAGCAGTTCCTGTTTCACATTCTCGTTGTACAGTCTGACAGCAGCAGGGAGGAAAGACCTGCGAAACCTCTCCTTCACACAGCGAGGGTGAATTAGTCTGTCACTGAAGCTGCTCTCCAGAGCAGAGAGAGTGTCCTGCAGGGGGTGACAGTCATGGTCCAGCATAGATGTTAGTTTGTCCAGGACCCTCCTGTCCCCCACCTGCCCTGTGTCCAGGGAACAGCTTAGGACTGAGCTTGACTTCCTGATGACCTTGTCCAGCTTCTTCCTGTCCCTCTCTGTGATGCTGCTGTTCCAGCAGACCACACCGTACAAGATGGCTGATGCCACCACAGAGTCATAGAAGGTCTTCAGGAGTGGCCCCTGCACTCCAAAAGACCTGAGCCTCCTCAGTGGGTAGAGGCGACTCTGGCCCTTCTTGAAGAGAGCATCTGTGTTATGAGTCCAGTCCAGTTTGTGATTCAAATGAACACCCAGGTACTTGTAAGAGTCCACTCTCTCAATTCCCTTTCCCTGGATGTACACTGGGGCTGGAGCGGCAGAGTGACGTCTACGGAAATCCACCACCATCTCCTTAGTCTTCCCCGCGTTGATGAGGAGGTGGTTCCGCTGACACCAGTCCACAAAGTCCTGTATAACTCCTCTGTACTCTGCGTCATCGTCCTCGGAGATGAGTCCGATGATGGCAGAGTCGTCAGAGAACTTGTGTAGAACACAACCGTCCGTGTTGTGTCTGAAGTCCGCAGTGTAGAGGGTGAAGAGGAACGGTGCGAGGACTGTCCCCTGGGGGGCCCTCACACTGCAGGTCAGGACCTCAGACAGCATGGAAGTTTTCTTATGACTTCTGTTTTAATTTATGTTTTGATATGATACAATTGGATTACATGACAATTACTTCCCAGTTCGTTTCCAATATGGTATATTCCAAAAATGTCAATACACCAGATATTTGCAGAGAATTTTCCACCCCTTTGCAACACTATTAATGAACGACACAGTTTATGAGATAGGACAATATCGGGTTTACCCAAATACTGACTTCCTGGCCCACCCACTCACAGTTTGGTGCAATTGGAGTCAAAGTTAGCACAGCACTTTTCATTCAAACAGCACTTGTGGCGAAACTTTCACCTGCTCAACTTTTGTTTGTATGTTCAAAAGCAGAAGAAATACCCTGTTTGTGAAGCCAGTGCTTGTTTGAAGGCTATGGAATTGGACTGCATAGTTTTTTTTAATGACGGATCACTGGGAGGCTGTAGAGGGGGTGCTAACGAGTTGCCGTCTTTACACCTAGCAACATGCTCATTTGGGAAAACTAAGCAAGTGTTATTTAAATGTGATTAAAATATTAATTAACAGGTTTGATATCTCCGTGATCACACTTCAGCATTCGTGAGTTCAGGCGGTTAGAAAAGTAAATGAAGTGTGTGGTGAGGGGTTTTTACAGCATTAAAACATATGGTTGCTACTTTGCTGCTTATTGTGGGTTATTTTTTTTAAGTAAAATCCACAATAAACGAGAGACTGTATAGTATAAATGCATTGTGTATTTTTTACTTCTTACCAAATAAAACTATTGGTTAATGTTTAAAGACCTCGCCAACATGTTTTAGCTGCAGTACATAATATATATATATAAGCAGTAAACTGACTATACAGTATTGTGTAGTTATATATATTTTGCGTACCATCTTAGTGCAGGTACCAATTTGAGCAGCATCAATGAAAGCTGCACCACAGTTTGATTATTACATCATGCTATCTCGACATGAAGCGGCACAAATGTGGCAAATGGGAAATATTTATAGGAAGCTAATTAGCCGAAAGCACGACTTAATTCCATCATCTCTGCGTCTGTGTAATAATGACCCGCGCTCGTGTCGTAACGGCGGCCTCCCGCGGTGTCTGCTCTCCGTCTATATTTCCCTGTGGTGTTTTTTCCAGCTTCACTCACCAGGAAAAGGTAGCGCTCCATGGCCGACGTGTTGCGAGCCGCCAGCTTCAGGATCTGGCCCTCTTTGATGAACTCGTTGGAAGGGTTCACGATGTCCTCCTCCTCGCCCAGCATCTCGTAAATCTCCATCAGCTTCTTCAAGTTTTCCTGCAGAAAAGCAGTTTTACAGTGTTGCGATCCGTGGTCTAATCCACAGAAAATAATTATACCAAATGTACTGTTTCTTGGTTTCAATATATTCTAAAGTTAAACCAGATTTTCCAATTAAACAAGCAGCTATATTGCAACAGTACAATATATAAGTATAATTTCTCATTCAAAGTCAGAAGTAGCCTGTCTTAGTCTAAATTTAAAGCTGGGGGACTTGACTTTTTCCACCATTAATAATACTTTGTTTTAGGCGCAACATAATTTGACTTCAACATTTTATCTTTTATCCTATGAGTCGCTATTTGACTATTTAGGCTGAGGGAGGTTGGTGTTATCGTGGTCACTTTCATATCTGAAAAAAGCAGAGGCCTAAAATATATGCATGTGAAAACTAGTGATACAACTGTTTTTTTAGAGCAAGGGACGATACGTAGATGGATTTGAATACATTTAAAATTTGGTCAGGTAAAACAAGACATTTTATGCTTGTTCTATTAGAAAGACAAGTTCTTAAAACATGATTATATACAACATTAACTTTGAAAACATCTTTCTTTTTTCTTTTTCAAACTAATAATTCTGTTCATTTTAAGTAAAAACAGTGTAATATATTCTTTTGATTTCATAAAAGTAATTAACTATGCATGAATATACAGTAGTCACTCGGAGTAAGTTCTATGCTGAATACAGAGTAGAACACAGTAGAATACAGTAGAATACAGTTGTGCTCAGAAGTTTCCATACCCTGGCATTGCATTCAAAAACCTTTTACAGGAATTATGGCCAAAATTATAATCAAACATTTTTACTACTGATTTTGGAAATATATTTGTAAAAAAAAAATCTCTTATCGTTAATATTCTGAAAGGCTGTGTAAACTAGCTGCACTTACAGACTTGCGGATTGCACTGTTGGAATGAGTAGCAGCAGTTGCGATAATTTCTAGTGATTCTGAAAACACAGGTTGGGAACACGTTAGTAATTTTTTGTATTCATAGGACCAGAAATAAATGTGCAATCAATATAATATCTCTTACTCTCTGCGTCTCGTCTGTCAGGGTCATCTGCGGGCAACTTCTTCAGGTAATCTTTGAGCAGCATCTCGTATCGTGGGATTCTCTGCACCGGCTCCAACATGTGATGCTGCAGGGTCAGGCTGCCACACACCTCCTGGCTCTGCACACACACACACACACACACACACACACACACACACACACACATTCAAGATTCAAGATTCAAGATTGTATTTGCCATTTGCAGTAAAACCACATTGGAATAACTGTGCAAGACTACCCCAGTGTGCACCAGGATAGAACACACCAGCGCTCCTGCTATCATCATGACGGCCGTGACTGAAAGGATGGAAAAACATATATAAATCTGGAATATTAAAATATTTTGAATTCAAGACCCCCTTTAACGGTTTCCTCAGCCATTCACTTTGTTTTAGGCTGCATCTCAACCATTTGTCAAAGGCCCATAATAATAATAATGATGATGAAATAAACATAAAGACTAATTATTTGTATTAATAGTGCTCCTACATCATAGAAAATCCCAAAACTTCAAAGAGTGAACCTTAAAGGGTTAAGTGCATGTGACTGTTTCTGCTTATAATTGTCCTAAATCTAAATATTGAGTCAAATTTACAGATATTTTTACTTTTGCTGGTAAAAATATATGTTAACAATCGTAGAGGGAGCCTTTGGAATTCAACGATAGAGTGGAATGGTGTTTGGTAGCATAGATAGAAAGTGTTGTGATCCTCATAATGACTAGTGCAATATTAGTGCCGCAAAGATGTGCAATAACTGTATGTGTAAATCATGCATAGTCGTTAAAATTCGCCGCTCACAGACTTTCTTGGTCGAATGGCTGGAAAGAACAAAACACAAGACGGCGGGAGAAACCACGAGCGGCACTACAGCTCTGACATACACATTGATATATTTTGTGGGGAAAAATATTGCAATACAAACCATGTATCGCTTGTAATTCAAATATTGCACCGCTCTATCCGTCAGGTTGAAGGAAAGAGTACACACACATACAGGAAGTAACAAAGATCAAAAATAGAAGACGTAGGTAGAGGAAACATGTACATGATTAAACAAGGTGGTGTTGTTTTGAGTTTCTACTTGTCAATTCATTATCTATTGTGCAAATGCGACTAGCTTTGATCCTTTCATACTTAGTGGTTGCTAGGTAACTATCTCTGTCATATCTGCTGCCCATGACCAAGCAGGGAATCAAAAAATAAACATCAACATTCGAGAAAAATTATGTCGGAGAAAATAAAAATCATCCGTACTGTGTTTTAGTGAAATAACCTGACCTGCTTGTGTTTAAAAGCAGAAAAATGTGGGTTACAAATGAATTCACTTACAAATTCACTTACCCCGCTCCCATCTCTGTGAGGAGTGAGAGGACAAGTGCCCAAAAATAACAATTGTAAACCGCTTTGTGACTCTGGTCTGTGAAAGGCGGTATATAAATAAAGCTTACTTACTTACTTACTTAAATAACAGAAGACGAAAGCATAACATTAGAGTTTAAATGATATTTCTAGGGCCACATTTTCGCATTGCCTGTGTGTTTGTTCAAGCTTCTTCCACCTAATATTTAGTCTGGCTCACTTGATCCATGCGCGTACCTGGATTTCCATAATAATAGCTTTGAACGGAGGCGAGCGGTCGTTCCACTGCTTCAGCACGTCCATGGCCTTGTCGAAATTCTTCACATATTCAGCGTACATTTTGAGGAAGGGTGTGAGTTTCTGAAGGATGTCCCCGATGCGAGGCGTGGAGGCCCTGAAGCAGACAAACACACCAAACACATAAGTATCCATATTTATAAGATAATACCTAATAACTACTTATCTTGCCCTATATGTATAAAACGTCGCACTATCTAGAGAGATAGGGATATATTGATATGTTGATATTGAAGCATTTACAGATAGCTAAGAATTATAGCAGCTTCTCTAATTTTATATTTTGTGATCTCCTATTGCTGTCCTGTATGTGCGCTACAACATTGAAATTTCCCCACTGTAGGACAAATAAAGGATTTCTTATCTCTTAACACTATAATACTGTATTTGCAACGATACAGAGATTGGATTTTGGTTATCTATTCTGACGACTTTAGCAGAATTTAAAAATACACGATTGCGTATAATACATAGGAGAATGTTTTTCCAAAGTGAAATGGACATGAAATCATAAGTGAAGAATTTAAATCTGCTCCTATACATGTTTGATTTCTAATATTCTAAGCCACAATATTGTCAATATTGATGGAAAAACATACATATATTTTATTTAAGTACACATAAAAAAGCACATACTTGTAAATGCATAGTTACATACTTTTTTTTTCAAAGCGCATACTTAAGTTTAACACTTAAGAAAAAAAATGTGCATATGCTGCATAAATATACACATATGTCACATGAAACATTGAACCAGTTTCCCATTTTAACATGAATTTAAAAATAAACTTTTGAAAAATATTTGAACTTTCTGAGCTTCCACCTATGACTGGTGTCTCTCACTTGTTTTGTATACTTTGATAATGAGACTGGTTATTGACACAGCCGTACTGACGACTTTCGCCACCTGTGTATATGTACCACAGTGACATACGCACCATTCCCCCATTCTTTTCTCCAGATCCGGAAGCAGGAACTGACTGTGGAAGGCGTGAATGGAGGTGATGTTGGAGAAGACGCTTTTGACCACGTCCACAGGAAACGTGCCTTTGTTGGCCTCCACCAGGAGTTTGGCACAGAACTCCTGCACAAAAACACACACAGACGGTCACTTCCTCCACAGATAAACTGTCTTCTGCTCAGAGATGGCCTCTGTTCTGACCTTATCCAGCAGGTGTAACCGCGCCACATACGCCTTCTCTGTGTGAAGGAGCTCGCTGGCGATTTTAAACAACTTCTGCTCATTGGTTTCCTGTAAAAAACAAAAAACCTGACATGTTATTGCCAAGTTTAACATTAGGACTCTCAGAATTCTGAAACTAAACTGCAAAAAATGAAAAAATATGAGGTAATTCTGCATCAATTGAGTGGTTTTGATCTTAATTTGAGTACGATTTGCCAATATAGGACAAAACAATTTAATCTTAGTCCAAAAACTGTTTATTTTCTCATTCCAAGGGAGACATTTCTTATATATTTTTAAAACATGACCACTTTAATTTTTGACTTATTTTTCATACCTTTTTGCAGTATACAAAATTTCTCATTCAAATCACCGTGATTCTGAAAGAAGTGAGTTGGTTTTCTACCAGGTTTATTAAAATGAGGGAATTTATACATGTTTCGTTATGAAATTATGAAGACCTGAGTAATAACACTTCAATTTGGGGTAAAGTAAAACGTGAAATTCAAACATTTTCATTCATAAATACATGTTTGCTACTGTCCAGATGTATTATATTGATAGACATAAGCATTCAGGCCCAAACAGAATACCATCATGTTTTCGTTTTCCTTTTGTTTCTGATTTAGTTTTCTGACTGTTCACATGAAGTCTAGCCTCTCGTAACAGGAAATGAAAACAGGGAAGAAGCAGAACCAGAGCAAATACATCAACAAACCAGCAGCACTGAAATGGCTCAGTGCAGCCTTCGTGAAGAACAGATCTTGCCAACATAAGAGCCTCAAGACCTAACTTTGAAACCACAACAAAAATAACTATGTCTATGTAACTACAGTAGTTCTTAGTAATTCATGTTTTTTGCCCCATCACATCTAAAGATCAGCCTTTTCCGTTCTAAAGAGAGGACCAGAACTCTGTCAATAATCTCTTAGTATGTAAAAGATAACAGATAGCAAAGGTGCTTCAGGTTTAATGTCTGGCTTATTTAATGTTAGCTTAGAATTACATTAAAGATGCCTCAAAATATATATGCAATATGTATGCAAAAAAAATGAACCACGGAATTTAATATTTGATGTAGAGCACTATGTGAACATTCAACGTGCCAAAGTACATGCAGTGCCTTGCAAAAGTATTCGGCCCCCTTGAACCTTTCAACATTTCGCCACATTTCAGGCAATATTATTCGGCCCCTTTACTTTCAGTGCAGCAAACTCACTCCAGAAGTTCAGTGAGAATCTTTGAATGATCCAATGTCCTAAATGACTGATGATAAATAGAATGCCCCTGTGTGTAATCAAGTCTCCGTATAAATGCACCTGCTCTTTGATAGTCTCAGGGTTCTGTTTAAAGCGCAGAGAGAACCATGAAGACAAAGGAACTCACCAGGCAGGTCCGAGATACTGTTGTGGAGAAGTTTAAAGCCGGATTTGGACACAAAAAGATTTCCCAAGCTTTAAACATCTCAAGGAGCACTGTGCAAGCAATTATATTGAAATGGAAGGAGTATCAGACCACTGCAAATCTACCAAAACCCGGCCGTCCCTCCAAACTTTCATCTCAAACAAGGAGAAGACTGATCAGAGATGCAGCCAAGAGGCCCATGATCCCTCTGGATGAACTGCAGATAACTACAGCTGAGGTGGGAGAGTCTGTCCATAGGACAACAATCAGTCGTGCACTGCACAAATCTGGCCTTTATGGAAGAGTGGCAAGAAGAAAGCCATTTCTCAAAGATATCCATAAAAAGTCTCGTTTAAAGTTTGCCACAAGCCACCTGGGAGACACACCAAACATGTGGAAGAAGGTGCTCTGGTCAGATGAAACCAAAATTGAACTTTTTGGCCACAATGCACAACGATATGTTTGGCGTAAAAGCAACACAGCTCATCACCCTGAACACACCATCCCCACTGTCAAACATGGTGGTGGCAGCATCATGGTTTGGGCCTGCTTTTCTTCAGCAGGGACAGGGAAGATGGCTAAAATTGATGGGAAGATGGATGGAGCCAAATACAGGACCATTCTGGAAGAAAACCTGTTGGAGTCTGCAAAAGACCTGAGACTGGGACGGAGATTTATCTTCAAACAGGACAATGATCCAAAACATAAAGCCAAATCTACAATGGAATGGTTCACAAATAGACGTATCCAGGTGTTAGAATGGCCAAGTCAAAGTCCAGACCTGAATCCAATCGAGAATCTGTGGAAAGAGCTGAAGACTGCTGTACACAAGCGTTTTCCATCCAACCTCACTGATTTCGAGCTGTTTTGCAAGGAAGAATGCGCAAGAATTCCAGTCTCTCGATGTGCAAAACTGATAGAGACATACCCCAAGCGACTTGCAGCTGTAATTTCAGCAAAAGGTGGCTGTACAAAATATTAGCGCAAGGGGGCCGAATAATATTGCACGCCCCACTTTTCAGTTTTTTATTTGTTAAAATTTTTTAAATTATCCAATACATTTCGTTCCACTTCACGATTGTGTCCCACTTGTTGTTGATTCTTGAGAAAAAATTAAATTTTTTTATCTTCATGTTTGAAGCCTGAAATGTGGCGAAATGTTGAAAGGTTCAAGGGGGCCGAATACCATGGGATGCATGGGTTTAGTGCCATACTGTTTCAGACTAATCTCCATGGTGACCAGCAGGTGGTGAAGAAAGTAGCATTGCACCTTTCCAATTTATATTTTAATTAATACCTACTTTTATTTTGTAATGTCAGAATGTGCAATATACTGTCACTTTACTTATATGTGCAATAACAATGTGACTGATTTACTGATTTATTATTTATTATTCATTATGCTAAAGTTAGAGATTTTATTGTTATTTCACTTAAGTATAGAGTTATTGTTCAGAAATCTTGTGCCGTGTGCTCCTCGTTCCTACTGTCCTCATCCCATCTTATTTTAGAACAGAATACATGTAAGTATAAACCAGGGGTCTTCAACCTGTAGCTCAGGAGCCACCAGTAGCTCACCACCTCTTTCCAGGTAGCTCGCCAAAGGATTTAGAAATGAATACATCAAATAATATACTAACTATTTTACATTGTATCATTCATTATATTGTTGTAAATGCGCCAGTAAGAAATATGCAAAGATAAATAATGACTGCACCTAACATCAGACTTTCTAACACCATATATCACCATATTTTTCCCAGAGCTGAAAGGAGTAGCTCTCTGCCTTTATCATCCCAGGAAAGTAGCTCTCTGGGTGAAAAAGGTTGGGGACACCTGGTATAAACAATAAGCGAATAAAAGAATTCTAGCCACAGGCCGAGTGTATCTATCAGTTCTGAAGATGCATTTCAAAACAGACGAGACAAAAGAGACAGCGCTGGGTCAGACGTGCGTTTCCGGACACTACCCACGGCCCACATCACACAGAGGTTGTGTCTCACTCTTGCCACGAGGATATGGAAAATGCTGGACTATAGCTATGAAGGGTATTGAAGGAGCACCTGAGAGTGAGGCTCAGGGATAGACCGTTGGAACATTTGAGGAGGGGGCATCCAATTCCAACACTAATGTGGCCATAGAAATGAAGCTTGCGGAGATTCAATCCGGTAGGCTACCTGCTGCAGCCAATCAAAACCGTTACCCTCGGCCAATCATACAACCTACGGCGATTAAGCCAGCTAGTAAAAAGCGGAAACTTCCCAACATCTAACCCCTTTTTCCATAATTCACAAGGAGTTGTTCTGGAGGAGTCACTTTTGTCTACTCACACTTCGCAACCATCACCTCCCCGCATCCTCCTCGAACTTCTATCCACGCTCTCATCTAAACTTCACCCTTATGCCACCTTCAGTACCTGGACCTTATGCCACCACCGGTACCTAGGTCCCGGGGGATTATAAGCGCCACACAAGGAATGATCGTACAGTAGTGACGTGAACATCTGTATTTACTCCTGGTATGTTTATAATGACGGCCTCGAACGCTGACACGGAAGCGGATCCCTGAACTCAGCTGCTCCTGTCTGGGGCATGTGTTCCGGCTCCAGAAGGAAATTCCTCTTTTGGGACAAATGACAGACGCATTTGTACTGTTGTAACTCAATACTAGGGACACACACAGAGCCACAGCTGCGAACAATGGAGCCATAAAACCTGACATTTAAATAATGGGGAACCTTTTTACAAATAACACATTTTGTTTGTCTTGTAGTAGTATTTTTGTGGACAAATCAGCCGACAACATGCTCCCTTCATCTTATTCGTAAAAAAACAACAAAAACGTGTTATTATTTGATGCTTTGGACTGGGGTGGTAATCTATTTTACTCTTTTCAATCTAAAAATCAGATTTATAGATGTGATAGAGGCAAAAAATACATGCATGTATACACAAAAACATTTAGAGGAAGGAGCAAGTACCGATAGACCTGGATTTGATTGCTTAGTTTGTTTTTTGTGGTCCAAGGGATGAAAAACCTGAAAGAGTGATGTCTCTTTAAAATGTAGCTCTAACATTTGTGTAAAATAAGAAAGTCCCACGTTGACGAAGGAGTTCCGTGCAAAAGATTAGTTTTTACAATCTGTGTGCACAACATAGTTCCTGTTAGATAACAATGACAATAAATATATATTATAATAAATGCTAAACATTAATTTCAATAATAAATCTCTCTTTCTATTCAGACATTAACACAGACCCACAGGATAGTATAAATTACTCGGTTAATAAAATCAAAATCACAATTTTAGTGGCTGCAAGTATTTATGTGACATTCTTTCCTGAGCAGCAAATGATCTTGTTGCATATGATTTGTGCATTTGCAAAAACAGACACGTGCTATTAGAAAAACATGTAAAAGGCTTAACATTTTCTCTGCCACAACTAGTTTTTTAACTTTTTTGTAAAGCTATATACATTTCAGTGCAGTAAAAATCAGGTTTCACATCTTCTTGAGCGAAACCTTTCTACGCTACTGCCAAAAACAAAACCCTTTAAAGGTTATAACAGGAAGAATACAACCAGTTGATATATTTTGTCAACCAAGATCTGTTTTTGCAAATGAACTCTCGCATACATCTGGCTATTTCTGTGTCTAGAACAACAACAGACTTACAAACAGAACTACAAGGGCCACCACAAAGGTCAAAAATAGGCAAATGAGAGATTAAATAAGGTAGTGTCTCATTTCTTTTGAGTGCAGTCAGATTGAATACCAGTCCAGTCCAGTCTGTAATAATTCCGTTTTAAGCACAGTATGATTTAAAGAGATCATTTTCTTGTCATTTCTTGTCATAACTTCAACATTTCTCTCTTAGATTTGAGTTCTACTTGTGCACTATGATAATTTCCCTCCATTGTAATGTCAGATCATAATTGCAAAGGTTGTCTGAATCATTGCTGCACTTTCTGAATCATGCAGCCCTAATTAAGGACATGGGATTAGCACATTTAGTAAAGTGTAGAACATGGGTATAAGTGAGCTGCAACATGCTGATAAAAAGACTCCACATTCACCGAGGGTAGATAAGCATGAGAACAATGCTGGCCGACTTGTTGTGTGTGCTTACCTTGGGTTGCGTGCTGACTTCTTCAAGCCGAGGTTGGATTTTGTCTTCATTGTCAGACGCATCTGTCCCTTTGAAGCAGGAAGGCGAGTGCGCTTCCATCTGCTCCTCGCTGCCCCTCTGCCCATTCACTACCCCCTTCTCCTCAGTCCTCACAGCCTCACTCTCAGCATTCGTACTACTACAACCGTCTGACTTCACTTTGTCCGTATGAGCTACCACTCCATTCGTGGCTGGTTTCGCCGCATCTCGTGGCTTCCCCTCGGCGTCCGGTGGCTGGATCCTGTCGTCCGAGCCGGTCTGCTTCTGCGGCGTTGCAATAGTGCGGTGAGCCGGACTGCCGTTGGGCGACTTTAGGTGCTTGGTTTTGCTGTCGGCAATGCTGTGGAAATGAGGAAGTGTGTTAGAAAAATGAAAGCTTGTCAAATAGGAAGGAAGGCATTATGGCAGTCGTTGTTCAGGTCTGGTCGCATACTGAGGAGCGGTAAGCAGAGCACGTTGGCATGTGAGTGTAAGAGATAAAAATAAAACTTGCTGCGGTGATGATGAGAAGCAATGAGGAGGAGGTGGAAAGGCAGAAGAGTGGTCCCTTGAGAGCGATACTGGCCTAGTTTTACAATATATGTTATACGATGTAACGTGATGGTTTGAAATGACAGGAAGGGAATTTGGAAAAAACAAATTGTGACATTAAGTTAGACGGAAAAGCCCAGAATAGTTCTTGATTCTAGACTTATACAGGGCCTGATTGCTCTATCTATATAACCTGCACTGCTATAGCCACAATTGTACATGATATATCCTGCACAAAGAGACTTTTAACCTGTAATATGTTTGCTTCCTGTCTTTTTGCACAACCTAAGTTATACTATCTATGCCAAATGTGAGATCAAAAAAGCTTATTTCAAAGTCGTCATTTGAAAAACATTGCAATGATTAAATAAATGAAAAATATATATAGATTGTTGTAATGCTGTCTAGTGAAAGCAGGAAGTGCTTATAGAGGAACAAGACGCCTGAGACCTTTCGTCATGTGACATTAGCTAGATCTTTGAACAAAATCAAAGTTATTTGACATCTGCCTTCTACCTTCATGTGTGATTGATTGTATCTGCAGGAGCTTGTTTGTATAATATTTAAAAGTGAAATAAAATACAAACAGCTGCAGTTTCCCCTCATAAACGTGTGTGGTGTGAGTGCGCGTGGGTGTCCTCTCGAGTAAAAATAGTTGCTGAGCTCGACCACAACGATGGAGTACCTTTAAGACCATCTCAGTGTGAAGGAGATTAGTGTATTATAGGCTAATGCTGTTTACAGACACCACAAAGGCTTTCTCTTCTGTTTACTGCAGCCAAATCCTGAGCTCCACTAACCCTTTAAGCACCAATGTATCAGAATTACTACAGGGACACTATACTATACACTATACAGCGACCTATACATACATTGAAAAAATAATTATTATTTATTTAGTCATTGATTTTAAATAATTCATTTGGTCTATAGGGAGCGGGATGACCACTAGCTGTCCGTAATAAATGTCCTTAAATGTCCCGGATCATCACTGTCCTTCAACCCTCGTGTATTGGCAAGGAACAACTCAAAAGAGTTTGCCAATAACAAATTACACACAACATTATTACCAAAGTGCACACAAAAACACTTATTTTTCATTTCTTAAGGCTATTCACAAAGTTTTGCAGCACTGAACTCTCTATTCATTGCCATCCGCCTCTAACCACCACCATCATTCACTCACTAGATTCATACTGCTGCCTGATTTAGGTACTGAGGGAAACCGGAGCACCTGCAGGAGACCCAAGATTTTGTCCGGCTTTGGGATCGAAACCCTAAAACTTCTTTCTCTGAGGCAAGAGCACAATTTTGGATAACAATCTCCTTACAATGGCTTTCAATAAACAAACAATAATAGACTGGAGAAGCCATTTTTCCCTCAAATCACATACAAAGTTAAACAATACAATTAAACGCATTGTGTAACAGTTTATATCTGCAATTGACAACATAACAACATTGTAAACAGAATAAAGTTTAAACTCTATAATCTGGTTGAAAGGACCAAATCAGGATATCAGCTTTACCGATATCATAGAATAATAATTTGATCAACTAAAAATATTATACTCACAAACGACTGCACTGAATCTGCCGTTGCATCGGACAATACAGAGAGACGCATAGTTCATCTGCTCAATATAAATCCCCTTTAAAGCTGGTGACGTCAGCCGTTTAGAATGTCTATGACCGATTCAGCACTGAGAGATCTGATGAAAGGAGCTGTGTCTTTTACAGATTTCTTTAAAAAGATGTGTATTATTTATTGTATCTATTCAAGGGAACCACTAGTGAACTACAACATAAAATCAATATCTGACACTGCCTTGAATCTATAAAAAATTACTAAAAGGAGTAAAAAGAAAAAGAGAGTTCCATGGACAGCCTTCTGAGTGTTTCGTGCTCACCTTCCGTCCTCGAAGCGGCTGATGAGAGCGGACACTTTGGAGTGCTTCTCTTTGAGGCGCTCCTTGGCCCCTCTGTCCTCCATCTTGGACTTTTGTGTTTGAAACGCCTTTGTTTTCTGGATGTGGTTGAGTGGACAGGGCGGGGCAGTCACCGGGCTCTGCAGGTGAGGAGGCTTTGGAGGCACTACATGGAAGGACACACAGAACACAACTATAATTCAAGAATGAAATGGTATATTTTTGAGCAATTACGCAAAGTTATTAATTGTTGCTGAAGGGGGCAGTGTTGATCCATCCCTAAGCAGAGATGAGTTGTTTTCGAAGAATTGCAAAAGTGCCAATTTAAAAAAAATATATAGTGACCCAATGATACTAATTGTTTCATTGAATTTATTATTACGCTGCCGTATCTTATGATATTTTGCAAAAAATGTTTTTTATTACAAAGACAAGTCAGATTCTTTGGGGTTTGAATAAATGTGAATAGATAACATAGACTCATTCTTTTCCCTGTGATACACTGCCTCATTGTGCTTTGTGGTCCATGGTTAATGATTGTTTCATTAGGAGAAGTGCAAGGTACAAAGGTCCGATCAGTATAGATCTTTGGTACTAGTTATTTCCTGTTTTAGAACGTGTTGTCATGGTTTCTAAATCTTATGCTGAGACAAACCTGACACAGAGTCATGCTGAGAGCTATTGCCTCTGCTTTCTCCCAGTCTTCGGTCTGAATCACAGGCTACAGCCGTGACACTAATGAAACGTGTGGTTTCTCTATCATAGTAAGTTTTGAATAAATTCACACATACGCATGTTAAAAGTATCAAAAATAAGACATCAATCAATAATATAATGAGTATAGAAATTGGATCATATTTGAGTGACTGTAGATCAAAAATCGAATCACTTCCATCAGAACGATGTGCCTTGTCTCCGTACCTTGGGGGACTGAGACTGCACCATGGATCTATGATAATATCTGGATAGGGTATTACTAGCTTATAGCTGTCCCACCAATGGGGGGCGCCCATGGTACTGCAGACTAAATTCACATGGGTCACCCAGAAAAATGTCAGAGACAGAGAAGCTACAACTTTCATAAAGGTCAGATTTTGTGGGGATTTTAGTGTCCACAAGGTCATCCTGACCTTTTTTTCTTCTTAAATCGTTCGGTTTTCTTTAAATCCACACTTTACTGCCACAAACTCTGCTCATTTTCTTTCCACTCTGGCTCCGCTCTAACTCCACTCAGATCAGCTTCTCTGATTGGTCAGAGCTCGGCCGAGCCCCTCTGTGCACGTGCATGAGAGCCACACACGCGTATTTGGCACAACGCATCATGGGAGCTTGTCCACTGCGCAGAACCGGGAGGACCAGACGATGCCCAAATATGAGTTAAATATTAAAAAAGAGCATCTATAGTGACAGTAGCATCAGAATTAGTATAGATTATTATCATTATTTTTTCTAGGATTGTAATCAAGTGTGAAATGTAGTATGGTGACAACACAAGCCCAGCCGCATCAGTGCTCCTGAATGCACCATGTAACAATGAGAAAACCAAACCTTTGGGTTTGGAGTCGAGGCGCGTCCTTCTACCCGATCCTTTTCCATCAGAGCCTTTTATGTTCTTTTTATTGCCCCCACTGCTGGCTCGACTTAGACACTCCTGGACACTGGGGGAGCTGCTGATCCCGGGGGAGGGGCTGCTGGCTAAAGCTGGGGACACAGAAAGAATGCTGTCAATAATCAATGTCTAATCATTATAATAGCCCTTATGTCCAAATATATTGATAAATACATATGTAAATATACCTTGTCACTTGATACTGTTTGATTAAAAAATAACATTTAATTCTATCCATCCATCCATCAATTTGCTGCCCCTTAATCCATTTCTGGCTTTCTGGCAGAGCTGCACCCAGTACACATAGCACCAGCCCTTCACTGATCCTCCTGCAGGTGCTGAGTCCACAGGAGCCTTGATCATTCAGCGGGGGCTTCAGGCAAAGGGGGGTTAAGTGTCTTGCCCAAGTACACAACGACAGCAGTCATCAGTGGGAGTCGTGAAGTAAGTCTTGTGGGTTCGAACCCACAACCTTCAGGCTCTAAGGCCAATGCACTACCAACTGAGCCACTGTTGCCCCAACATTCTCCTTAACATTAATTTAGCCACATCACAATGTAACTGCTTCAACAATGAATGATGGAAAACGGGTAAAAGCCTGTATTTTATTTCATTTACAGAACTTGCTGGACAAGTTCTGATCAGCCGACCTGATCATGGATCTTTAGTGATATGTTTAAAAGCAGAATTCACCAATAAAAGATATCAGAAGGTGTCGAATCATTTACATGTGTCAGAGAGTGTTTGGTTGATTGATCAATTCAGTTAAGCACAGGCAAAGACAATACTTTCCAAGATCTTTTTTTATTTCAACAGACAAGTAAAGTAAAGAAATGCTGTGAACAAATAAGACCACAACATGCTTTCTTTATATTGTTACAGATCGTATATTTACATACTGAGAGCTGTGAGGTTGAGGTGGTTAGGTTCAGGCAAAAAATGCAAGCATGAGAAAACTAGTGATGGACTTTTGAGAGCAGGAAACTCGGTACATGTATTTTAATGTGATGATGATATTATTGCATCGGTTATATAAAGGCAAGGCAAGGCAAGTTTATTTGTATAGCACAATTCATACACAAGGCAACTCAAAGTGCTGAACAAGAAAGCATTAAAATCATAAATAATCACAGAACATTAAAAAGAAAGATACAAATATAAAATCCCTCAGTTGTATGCACAACTAAACAGAACTGTTTTTAACCTGGTTTTAAACATTGTCAGAGAGGAGGCCTGTCTCACATCTTCTGGAAGATTGTTCCAGATTTTAGCAGCATGAATCTGAAACGCTTTTCTGGGACTTCACATGGCATTATTCATTCCCTCCATACACCGTGATGATAAACTACTATGAAGTCACAGCTGCCTTGGAGCTGACTGACAGAAGAAGACTCACCACTGTGGTACCTGGTATTCCCGAAGGTCTCCCACTACAGTGCTAACCAGGCCATGCCCTGCTTAGTTTCAGAGGACAGACGGGATTTGTGCCACAATTTTATTTTTATTTTTCAAAGTTAGGTACCCCAGCTTGCAAAAAATGACAAATTCTTTAATAATTAATGAATGACATAGATTTCGCCCAATGTTCTCAGATTTTAAGCAGATAGATCATTTTCTGTAAGCATTATTGATGGTATAGCCTTGAGCAGCAGCTGGATCCATGCAGCAGTCGTGTTTACAGTAGCCCACATACACTTCTCTCTCTGACCCTATGCACTCACAGCAGCAGCAGCATATAAGGGGATGCCCAAATAAGGACTTGCGCTGCAGCCTGGGAACAGCCTCATTACTTTCGACGCTAATAGATCATCACTTTCCATGTATGGCGCCCACTTTCATAGCAACGAGGCTTAAAGAATCTATGTGGCTGTCTGCTGCCCACTTTGTTAACCTGCAAAGAGCTGTTTCTGCCATTTGCACACGCTTGACCATCACTCCCTACACAGAGACTACCATGTACAGTACATTTGATTAATTATTGTTAAAAATGAATTCTGGTTTGATCAGTGTAATATTTAACGGGAAAGTCACTGTACAGACATTGACAATAGACTTCTGATAAGAAAGACAGCGGTATCAATTGGACATTGGACATTTCAAAATAGAATAAAGAATGTATCCTTTTAATTGATATAGCACCTAATTTTGTCCTCTCTCAAGGAGCTACTATATTTTAAGGGTTTAAAAAATGTATCAAAACAGAAATAATGATTTTACAATTGGACATTCTCAATCACTGTATCCATGACATAAAGAAAGTCTGTAAGTTATTCTTTTTCCCGTTCTATTTCGGGATGATCATTTGTAAATAGAGTTGGGAATAGATTTGTTAGATTTCTCGACACATGGTGAAACTTTCTGAGGAAAAAACAAAAGTATACCAGCGAAACATGGTAATAACAAAAACATGTCAAGGTAATAACAATAACGTTGCTGACTTACTGTCTGGTAAAGAAGAACCAAATTACCTTCCTCTACATGGTGAAACTGTTAAATATTGCGTAAATGTAAATGTATGAGTTGACATTTAGACCTCCACACAGAGATATTTCCACAAAAACTACAGCATAGCCATAACAACATATACAAATTATAGGCATCCTTCAGCTAAAGTTAAAACATGTAGTGTGCGTGCCCAGTCCCTATCCATTATATTCACAATGGTTTCTGACTGGGTTCCAAATTGCTTGTTTGGGGTACAACTTTTTCCCCCCAAACTGATCTTTATCTTACCAAACCCTGGACGCGAAACAGGAAAATACCACAGAATCCTAAGATCAGATCTATTTTAGCTGCAATGGCCGTAATTAAAGGCAACATTGTGTGACTGTCTGACTGGTCGAGCTCCCACGCTGCATTTGGGTGCGTACACTTGCTAAACATGGAATCCCAAATTACCAATCAATTAAATGTGCGGCCTCAGGAATGTTCCTAGATTATGTGCTTGGGTACGCTGTGGGGCCACATTAAGAGAACAGCGTGTTTTGTGCTCTTCAGGCCCAGAGTGTTGCCTGAAGCACAGGGTTATGGCTTTGTTATTGGATTATGGCTTGGATCGGATGGAGGTTGTCAGTCATTATCATCACACTTCTATGTTTACTTTGAGTGTGGGTGCTTAAAGCTAGTGTACGTGGTTAGTATTGTCTTAATAACACAGAGTTTGTAAATTAGGCCTACGAGTTTCATTAGTGCACTTACTGGTTCTTGATTATATCTCTAGTTTTTTGTACTCATATTTAAATCAACTTTTTCAGATAGAAAAGTAAAAACAAGAGGACCACTCTGATCACCACCAACCATTGACACACACATTCTAGAAAATATGGTTGAAGTGTCTTGCCTTGGTTGAAGTGTACACAGCGACAGTTTGGCACTTTACAGCCGCAGCCGCTCCACTGTGGCACCTGGTGTTCCCAGAAGTCTCCCATCACAGTACTAACCAGGCCTTAAAATGCTTAGCTTCAGAGGTCTGATGGGATCTGGCTTACATATGCAGGTAACACAACTTTTTAACACAAAATAGTACCTTTAGCATGAAAAAACAAACTCTTTCAATCTCACCTATAGGAGACTGAAGACCAGAATTATCCGACAACAACGCACAAAAGTAAAAAACATTTTGAATGCATCACGTGCAAATGATTAACAGTGTCAGACATTCTTCCGTGAAAATTGACTACTTTTTATGAGCAAGATCTCCTGGCATAAAGACGGTTCACAGTGCAATGTGCAGACCAGTTGTATCTCAGATCTCCCGATGGCGTTGTTGTTACACAAAGTTAAACTGCACTTCCTCTCAGACACTGTTTCTGGCACGTGCTCATTAAAAGCACTTTGGAAAAGGGACACCGAGCGCCTTATTGACTCAATTAGCCGAAACCAGCCACCACTGCAGCAGCGCTTTGGTCTTTCCTCCTCCACGTGTGCAGCCCTCACATCTGCCGCCTGATTCCCATAAACTACAGCGCAGTCGAACGCCTTTAAATGATGTAAATACGCGGCTATTCTGTGAACTCAAAGTGCAACACGTCAACAGATCGGGAAGTTCAAAGTAAAAAAACAGCCTTTCCTCCAATGATGAGTTACCATAGCAACGTCATTTCTTTATTTGTATCTTGAGCATCGACCACCTGTGTCCAGAACGACCAATTTGCAAATGTGTGTGTCGGTAAACAGGACTTTTTTCCCTTTGGTGTTTGTCTTATGTCAATAAATTAGGCTCCTGTAATACTGTGTTCTAAAGAGGAAACACCTTAATATTCTCTGTAACAAAAACAATAAAAAATCTACACATAGGGACTGGGTGTTTTTGCAGGAAGCTCCTCAAGGCCACTGTGTGTTGACAACATGTTGGTTCTGGTCAAAACAACAGCTGGACAGATGCCACAGGAATAAAACATGTTGAAGTCCTTCCCAATGAGTGGTTTTAAATGAGCTATTAGCGTAGCTCATGATGATATGAAAATGTGAAAACAAAAATTGCGGCAAGAACAGCTTGTATTTGGTCTTGCGTGTCTCATGAATTCCAATGGGGAACAATGTGGGTAAGTCAGAACAGTCCAAGGAGGTGTGGAGTACTTTATGGCTATTTACGTGTTTAAAGCTGGGGTACCTGGCTTTCAAATGAGAAAAAAACAAACATTTAACAAGATTCTTGCTCTCAAAACCATTTTCAGTGTTTTTGTATTTTTAGCCTCTGTATCGTTAGATCATTTTATTCTGAAAAAGAGAGGACCACCCTCAATCAGCTCTCAGCCCATCCATCCATTTATCCATCCATCCATCTTCTTCCCCTTAATCCATTCCTGGGTCAGGGAGGTGGCAGCCAGAGCTACATCCAATTCGCAGAGCTCCAGCCCCTCACTGATCCTCCTGCAGGTGGTGAGTCCACAGGAGAATGGCTGCTCTGTCGAGGAGAGCATAGCCTTGATCTTTCAGTGGGGGCTTCAGGCAAAGTGAGTTTAATTGTCTTGCTCAAGGACACAACAACAGCAGACATCAGTGGGAGTCGGACAAGAAGGTCTTGTGGTAGGCTCGAACCCGCAACCTTTATGCTAGCTCTCAACCCCAAAACATAAAATACTGACTCACAGGGCTCTTTATACCAATTTGTTTTACTTTTACAGACACATCATTTGAGACCTGAAAATAATCTAATATTTTTGGGAAGAAGACAAATGTCAGTACCCTTCAATTTCAAAGTGCCAGTGAATGAAATCTTGAACAAACAACAATAGCAACAATCATATTTTTTGCAGGTAGACTTAGATCCCTCCTGAGTCTGCACCTGATAGTAGGTCTGCCTTGCGCACCTGCACAATACTTAATCCCTTTCAGCCGGTCCAACACAATTAAAGCAGCTCTGATTCTCCTGAGACCTGACGGCTTGTTTCACACCTCCACTTTGCACTGCCATCTGTCCCGGGGTTATGTCACCTGAAGCTAAGCAGCGCCCACACCTGACTTCTGGCTGACTGACGCATGTGTGTGCACTGATTTTGCAAGCTCTAAGGGTGAGAAAACACAGAGACACACCTGTAAGCAAGCAACGTGTTCCCACCCTGTTTGTGAGGCTCTCTTTGTTTTCCCCGCACTTTCGACAATGTGACTGCGTTGGACCAGGTGGATCTCAGTTCTATCAACAATCACAGCTTCGACTCAAATTCAAAGTGCAAAGTTCTGCCTCACAAGAGTAAACATATATCACATAGTCACCATTGTACAACTTCACAAATGAATAAAAAACCAAGACAAGGCGTGACTAAACCAGAAGCAAATTCTCTTATAATTGAACCAGTTTATACAGTGCAGACTAAATGCATAAAGGAATTCTCGACAGCAACGTTGGGCTATTGATTAGGACACAGCATGATAGTAAATGCATGAACAAACAAGACTAATTTCCAATGTTGTCTCAAGGGACTAGGGTTTCTTTCCCGAAGCAAGAAGGTATTTCCAATTACAAAGTTATGTCTCTCTTGTTCAGGACTACAAAGATAATGAAGCATGTTCCTATAGTGGTCATTTTGAGCTTATGTGGATTATTTATCTATATGCATGCCTTATTCTATGTTTACTTTTATAACTTATTTGCACTGAGAGAAATGTCCTAGTTTGTCACTTCCTGTTACTCACAATGGCAATAAAACAATTCTTATTCTGATTCCTCATCATCCAACATGCAAAGCAGACATACAGAGTGGAGCTGCACATCTTTGCCACTGGGCAGTAATTGTCTAGATGAGGCTGTAACCCACTCACCATGTTCTTACGATATGACGTTAGGAGCATGTTTGTCAGTGAATCCAGTCAAGCTTTAGTGCCCAGGTCCCATGCGATCCTCCAGGACAAGCAGCAGCATGTAGTGACTCAGCTGAGCCCACAGCAGAGGGACAAGCTATGGGACTGGCCCCGCCCCTTCTGCGCCACACGCTCCCTCTCCCAGACACTTACAAACCAGACAGTAGAAAGGTCTATGATATACACACGCGCACACACACACACACACAGCTACTATGTATGGGCTGTACGTTGCACTGCCCTAATCAACATTACCATAGAACCAGTGAGAAAGTGTCTATAAAAAAGCCATATCGAGTACCTATTCAATTTTGTAGCTGACAGCCAAAATTTCAAAAACGTATTTCTGCTTCAACTTTCTTAGAGATGTCACTTCAAACTCTCTTAATAGGATTGACTCAATGTGCATCTCAAGACACATTTTTATTGCAATTATTTGAGATTATTCTTTTCAAATAAATGAAATATATATATATTTCAAAACCGTGATGCTGTAGTTTAATATATTAACAGTATCACAATGTTTAACTTGATATATAGGACAAAATATATAGTCATGATTTTGAGAATAGATGATAGACCATAAAGTGACAGCGGTCTAAACGTGTATTGTTGTCTGCTTTAGGATGAAGCAAGAACCACAGCTGTTCCGCTTTTTGAGCCATATCTTGTGCAATAACCTAAGCATATCTTAATTGCATATTCTGTACAAATATTATTCTAAAAGCAGACTAAAAGCAGACTCTCAAATACAATCTAAATAAACAAAACCCAAACAAATACCTTTAGGTGAAGTTCGCACAAAGATCTGGTCCATGCTCTGCAATTTTCTGTGTGAGTACATTTTTGAGTCGTGAATTACAAGACTATAATTATATATGAACAATCACATGACAGGAAACCATGTTCATATCTAGTTATGCAGTAGTTTTTAGCCTGCCATTTGTAGTTTCTCTTTGACATGCATGTGTTGTGAGCAGGGATAGACACCTGCAGGAATGAAAGAGACTTTACCCAAACCAGTCAGGCCAGTGAAATTCCAGTCCCTTCATGCTGCAGAGTCACACAGGACTCAGCCCCAGTTCTTATTACTGTAATACGGTTTGTTTGGATGTTCCAGGTGGTTGCTGTTTCACGGACCAGACTTCAACTTCACAATGAGGAAGAAAACCAAATGCAATGGAAGTTGGTTCTCAGTATGCATATGGATTAGCATATGTTACATTCTGCACAATGGCCTCCAGAATTGATGTCTATTCAGTTATTCTTATGTAGATCAAAGTAAAGCAAACCTGGCAAGATCCAAAGGAGCAAAATCATCTGTGTAATTTACCAACTTTTTAGTAAGACGGTGACTTTTGTTAACCAGGCTTGTCCAGGGGTCAACAACCGGGATTGTAAAATGGTTTTCCCTGGATTTGTACAGTTCTGAGCTTTATAATTAGTTATGATGGAGCTGAAGTTGGCTGAATAACAAATTACAACCTCACCAGCTTTATCAATGCCATTAATACAATGTTGTGACAAATAAAAGTCAACAGCTGAATTGTATAGCCTGCCTATATTGGCTGAGCGGAAGTTGGCTGGATGACACTGGGAACTTGTGTTTATGATCTGAGTAGGTTAGCAAAGCAGAGGGCCACATAAAATGACACAGGGAGCTGTAATTGACCATATAATGGATTGAACCGATATCTGTTAATAAATGCCATAATATGAATGTTACATCTGAAGAACAACATTTCCTTGTAAATAATGATATGCCGTCCTCCAGGACAAGCCAGGTCTGTGGAGATGCAAGTCCACTCACAATAGGATACAGAAGTTTACAGTATACTTAGGCATATTCTTAATGTTAATCACTAAGTATCTAACTTTGTGCACCAACATAATCAAAGAGCTTTGGGTAAATGCATGGTTTTAAATAACAAACAAGCTGTCTTTTATCTATTATGTAATAATCAAGTGTGTATACGATTCCTTAAACCGAAGCCATGTCCCTAATGTTCCACAGACACTGTATTCAAGACATAAGACATAACTTATTGTCTCACATCAATGCCACATGTGTCTTTCTGTTTCAAAAGGCTTTCTCTTTCTCACAACACAGACTTTGTTCAGATTAACCTCTTGTTCATTCCCTAATCCCAGTCTTCCCTTGGATTGAGACCCCATTTGACGACAACGACCACAATGTACTGAAAGTCATAGCACAATGAGAATGTTACTTAACAAATAAAAGACAACCGAGCTCATGTGAAAGCAGGGGCAATTATTTTATGAACAAATGAGAGTCTAGAGATGAAGTGAAAGCGAAAATAAGAAATAGAAGTATGTGCGAACAGAAGGGGAGCAGTTATTCATCACTGTGACACACGCAGCGGTATAGGGTAAAAATAGAGCTTCTTCACAGTCTAAGGTGCACACTATACCTGCCCCATTAAACCTCTATCTTATTTTAATGAAAACACACACAATTACTTATTTCTACGGAAAAGTAGGCAATTCTTAACAACATCATTTGACAGGAAGTTACAGTATTCAGCTTCCTCATTTCTACTTTTTACAAAACTGAAATGACTTTTATACAACCTAAATAACGACAGTAGTAATGTATGCAACTTACAAAACTACAGCAACTTGTTTTATGACAGCCAAAGATAGGTGGTTAACTACTACTGGAGCCACAGCTGCCCTGGGACAAACGGACTGAAGCAAGGCAACCGGTCTGAGGCATCGGACCATCAGACCAGCATCGATCATTCACACACAAACACACACATGCATGCACACTTACACAAGGATACACACACAACGCACAAACAAATGCACACCAGACTCATACTAGACAATGTAGGCGAGTGTAAGTGTCTTGCCTCAGGACACAAGAACAGTTTGTAATGTAAATAAATGTAATGTCACGTTGCTGAATGTTTCAAATGCAATAATGGTGAGAATTGGGAAAAAAATTCTCTCAAAAGAAAAATGAACTTGGCTGATGTCAAGTGTGTGTAGAACAGGTCTCACCTCTAGAGTGTTCGATTTTCACAGCCACGCAAGCCTCGTCAGCGCTTCTATTTTGGAAACAGCTTGAGTCGCCTTTGCTATCTGAAAACAAAAAACAAAAAAAGCAACACATTTTGGTTTAATTTGAAGCAGTACAAGCCCAATATAACCAAACGGATATCATGGCGTGGACTTTTAACTTTTTTTAAAGTGGCAATATGTAAGATTTTCATGTCAAATCATCTTAAAATGGCCCTAATCTGTCAAAAAGCATTAATAAACCATGCTCTTTACGAATACTTCTTTAACTGATAACAGTAGTTCAGCTGAGATATTTGGATTTCGAAATTAGTTTTACAGCCCCTAAATATTGATATTGTTTTAATGTCGATGTCCCGCCCTCCACTGTTCTACCAATCAGAATGTCCATGATCCAGGTTGCCAGAACTCACGCGTCGAGCTAATCACACTGGTAAAGTAACATGTGGCCGCAGAACAAAAAAAAAAATCAACAACTAAACTAAAACAATTAATAAAATGAGGATTTCTATCAAGGATACCTTTCTGAAAAAGTTGCAAGTTATAGATGTGTTGTTGATAAAACTCTTAAAATACAGATATTGTGGTCCCAGCTGGATTTGTCTGCCTATCTGGCAACCTGGGTCAGGGAGATCGCAGTACCACTTTTGGTCAGATTTTCACATTCTCCTTCCTGTCCCGTCCCCTAATGTGAACCTTTTATTTATCACCAATAAAAGTAATGTAATTCTGAAACCGTGAAGTTAAAGCGTGGCAAAATGAAACAAAACCTCCCCATGCTTTGTGTAAAAAATGTGCATGTGGAGGCATTTCTTGCAGCTGCATTTGACACACTGAGCAGAGTGCTTGCTTTCTCAGAGGAAGGGGATAAAAGCGGCCCGTCGAGAGAGATGCTTAATTAGTGCGTCTGTGATTTGTCGGGCATCGTCTGCGGGGAGATCTCACAGACGCTCAACAAACAAGTTTAATATGCGCAAAAAAGATTAAAGATGGAGTGAAACGGCTGGAGATGAAAAAACAAAACAATACAAGAGCTATGTCGGATGAGATACAATAAAGTCTCAGTCACGGTCGAAAGCTTTGTTTGATCAAGAGTTATCTGCCAGCTTTGATAACTCACTGGATGGATGGAGTTTATGAGAGGGACGGGGCAAGGTTAGCTCAGTATAGAGTTACTGCTCACATACCAGACGCTGCGTGGAAGTAACTATGTGTTTTGAAAGCCAAAACAATGGACCCCTCTGTCCCCACTATGTGAATAACTTTAATGAATGCATGCAGTGTGATTATAGTTGCTTTTCTATGTACTTGTTTTATGCTTGTATTGTTTCCTATTGTGTTTTGTAAATCACTTTGAGTTAATTTATCTATAAATTGTGCAAAACAAATAAACTGTCCTTGCCTCGCATGTCCTGCCTGACAGAATATGGGAAATACTGTACATTTTTTAAAGATAGAAAAGCAATGATTTGGTGGACCGCATCATGCATTTGATCAAATTATTAAGTGTCATGCATTTTATCATATATTTTTTAGTCTATATATTTTATTTCACATACAGTATGTACATAATATACAATCCCTTCGGAAAATCAATTTTTAAAAAAACTACACCAACGATTAAATATGACAAGCAATAAAATATAACATCTAGGCAATTCTATTTATGCTGCAGATTGATTATAATGAATTGTATTTATATTGCACCTTACAGTTCCAGGAAACCACAAAGTGCCACAGATTAGGTGCGCCTAGAGTTGCCAATCTTTGCCAGAATTATTACAATTTACCAGCAGTTATTTAGCTAAATATAAAATCCTCATATTGGAGTCATATTGATAAAAAAAATCCAAGCCAGAGCTGTGGGAGGTACAGTATAGAGTGAGTAAGAGGCATGCTGCGTATAACATCCTGGTGCAGGGATTAGAAGTGGGCTTTCTCCTCTCACCATCTGGAGCCCTCCTGACAACCACACACACTTAAACACACATTTGAGATCACCGCTGAGGCCCTGACACCAGTAAGCAGCTTATTCCACATATTATAAGGCACCCCGCTGCGTCAAATGTACTTTCATCATGTGACCGGCATTATCTGAAAGGTAGGTGGGGGGTCTGTGGTTTCGGCCCCCAAGCTAAACTTCCTACTCTTTAGTTGCATATGTCCTGTTTTCTATCGCACCTCCCACCTATTCAACTAGACATATACGATACAAAACAAAGATGTGTTTAGTCAACTATAGAAAATGTGGGTTGACAAAAGATGTTGCAGTACACATGAAGGACAGTAAGAGCACACAGAGCACACAAAATATACAATATAAGTAGCTGCTATGTTTATTTTAACCCTAACTCTAAACCAGAGGCGTGGTAAAATCTCTCAAAACTCTGGAATATGAATCTGACCAAAACTGTACTCATAAACTTTCTGAATAAATCACAACAATTGCTATTTACAGAGCATAAGTAAGACTGTAACATGTATTATAGTTTGATCTGGCTTGAATATCTAAGTAGATACAACCGAATCTTGACTGACTGCTCGACTAAACAACTAAAGATAACAGTCCAAGTTGACCCAATGCCCTCTGCCATAAAAGTTTACATGTTTTTGGCCAAATCTGAAAGCGTACAATTGTCTCATTCACTATACATAAGCAACTTTTCATTCATTAAAAGTGTTAATTTCCTTCCAATTCAGGCGAGGCGTTTATCGGGCTTTCGAATGCTGTAAACACGGTGCCTATCTCGTGTGCCGATCTGCAGGCTGTTGACAGAAGCCTTGACTCTGCGTCCAGTCGCTGCCAGCAAACAGACGCGGCGAGGGAAATACAACCTTCTCCTGACCTACAGCGTCACGCCTGCACAAGTCAGCACAACAATAACACGACAATAACACTGTTAATTCACTGTTGTCGCTTTCAGATATACTGCAGATAGATGGGTAATCGTTTTTTAAAAGCCCAGAAACAGAAAAACAAGCCCTAGTTCAATGGATGCAATCTATGTGCTCATTCCAGTATATTTATGTTGAAGCAGTTCGCTGATATATTGATGTATATTTACTGTCCTAATTCAAATAAATAAACTAAACTACAACTAAACAACGGCCTATCTTCTGTTAGAATATGAACATTTTTATTTATTTAATATTCATTGGTATTGAAGCATTTCCAACATTTACAGCTAGCTAAGAAACATAGCAGCTACATACTTATTCTGTATGTCTTGTGTGCTCTTACTACTGTCTTGTGTGCACTGCAACATTGTTTATCTCTTATCTTATCTTAACTTTTACAGGAAATAGGCTCATTATTGAACTCCAATGTTTTAACTCCAATGTTAAATCCTACTGGTATTTAATTAGTATTATGAGTAATTTAAAGTTCCTCACTTAAAACTGGGGTACCAAACTTTTTTGTTTGATAAATAATACCATTTGTTTTTCATGTCACGTTATTTTTAGCACACTTGTAAGAAAGAGAAGTGAGATTCACTATTTGACTCTTTGGCCTGGAGGCTGATTGGCTGAGTAAAGGTGGTTCTCTCTTTTTCACTGTAAAAACTGATCTAATGCGACAGAGGCCAAGTGCAAGAACTAAACTGTTTTGAGAGCGAGGAACTAGTAACATGGATGAAACAATTACAGAAAATGTGTTGCAGTTTGAAAGCTAGGTCTAAATGCTGAGATAACGACAGCACCCAATAGGTTTTTTACGAACGAAACGGTGCAATGTTGAAATACCAGTTACAGACGACATCTACTGAATTCCGCCATGCATACACCACTTTTGCGACAATACATTGTTCTCTGTCGTATAAAACTTCTTCTTTTTCAAATGATTTCCTTAAAGCCTCCTATAAGCCTCCTCTAGTGGAGACTTGTTCAAATAATCAAACTGCGTACCTCCTTCTTTCTATTCATTCATTATTGCCAAAAACACATTCCTTCCTCATTCATGTGTGTTTTACCTGAAGACACCTGCCTCCAAGCCGGCTTGGCATTCCTCCTTCTCTCCATCAAACCATCTCTGTCCATATCCAAACGTTCACATCAATCCGTTTGGCAAATAAATTCAATCCTGACACTGTAGTATTCCTCGACTGTGAGGCCAAAGCTCATATCTCGTCCTCTGTGTTTACTTATTAAGTGCAGAGCGTATTGGAGACACTCTGTTCAAACCGGTTCCATAGAAACGTCACATAGGCACAGCAGACCGAAAGTGAAGCAGTGGGAGGAGACGTCTAGATACCTGGCCAATTTAACTATTGACATAATAAAGTTTGCAAGGCTGGACTGAGCCAAGGACACACAGCCGTTGGGTTGTAGGGGGGAAGGTAAGGAGAAAATGGGATGAGCAATTAAATGACAGTGTGCAAAACTTGGTGGTAGAGTCTTATATTAGTCTAATATTTGTGAACAAATAAGACCACACCAACTTTTGCATACAAAGAAATATTCCTGGGAGTCACTGTTGGATTCTTTGGGCTGAGTGACGGTGGTCCTCTCTTGTAAACGTTTCTGTCTGGAAAAGTTGATCTAAAAATATCACAGAGGCCAAAAATACATACATGTGAAAACTAGTGAGCAGAATGTTTTTAGAGCTAGGATCTAGTTTGATGGATGTTATAGATTCAATTTTGTGTGGTTTGAAAGAAGTAGGTACCCCAGTTTAAACAGTACAATAACCTCACTTAAATTCACAATACCACGCATCGTTGTTCTTCTAAAAAAGCAGTGACCAAGAAGCAGAAAACTGTTGTGGTCGAGGTAAATTTTACACATTCAGTCGTGGCTATCTTGATACGAGCAAAAGGATAAAGTGCATTTTTAACTATATTTCAATTAAAAGATGATCCAGGCTTTTTCTTCACACCCCACCTGAAGACATTTGACATTTAATCCAAATTCTTGTGTTTAACTCTGTTTTTACTGCCTCTGTGAAGCACTTTCTGCATCCCTTTGGTCACAGAAAGTGTATTTTGTTGGTTGATTGATTGATTTTGCTCAGGTTTTGCTCTGTGCCAAATTGATTAGTTAAATTGATTGACTTGAGCCCTCCCTTCCTTCTGTAGTTGGAATTTAGATATGTTTGATCATATAATATTTGCTCAGTCATAACACGTTAAGCAAGCCTGTACACACAAGCACGCATACACACACACACACACACACACACACGGGTGTAACACAACATTCCCATATGACATCATGAGGGTGCGCACGGGTGACTATAAATAATGTCTCTGATATATTTGTTGCTATTATTACAATTCCTGATCTTGAGGATCTTATGGCAATGATTCAAGATTTAAAAAAAAACTGCAATATCAATAATATCAATAACTTTTTATTTCTTATTATTCTAAATCAAAACACACTGAAACAGGTCATAAACCTTTCATAACTCTAATTGTCAATTTACCATAGACGTTTGCTTTGACAAACCAAAATTATCCGTTTTATTTTGATCCAAACCCACTGATCTACATTTGCTTTAATCCACATCCTCATACACATTCATAATCACAGGAAGAGATCCGCATTAATGACTGAATAATGAGGAGAAATGGCTCGACACAAATATACGCAGACTCCACAAGGGACAGAGAACGCAGCGCACCCCCCATGTTTATTTGCATATCACAGGGCGAGATTGAGATAACTACTATTCAATTGAAGCTCATACATAATGTAAAGGGAACGAACACATTAATATGCTAAGTCACACCCCTCTAATCATATGAGACGTGGGGCCAATAATGGTCTGTGTGTGTTTGGGGAGTGGGTGAGGTTTTCATGGCTGACGCAGCAGAGACCAGATGTGGCTGTCCTCACTCCTGTCCTGGCTTTCCATTCCAGCCAATTAACAAAAGAGTTGTGGTTTTCTGTCAATTACATAATAGAGGAGAAATTAAAAGGCCTTGTAAAGCTTTTATGTGGTCAGGGAAACCAGATGAGACCCCACTTTTCTATTTATGGGGAAAGCAAGACCATATGGACAACCTTGTTATGGGCAACTCTGTCGTATTTAAGCTAAAAAGTGGCAAAATAGCTCGAGGGTGACAGTAGCTCAGTTGGTAGAGCATTGGCCTTAAGGCCAGAAGGTCGTGGGTTCAATTCCCACCTCTGCACCTTCTCCATCGACTCCCACTGATGACTGCTGTCGTTGTGTCCTTGGGCAAGACACTTAACCCCACTTTGCCCAAAAGCCCCCACTGAAAGATCAAGGCTATGCTCACACTCAGAGAGCAGCCGCCCTCCTGTGGACTCACCACCTGCAGAGGGTCAGTGAGGGGCTGGTGCTATGAGACTTGGGTGGCATCTCTGACTGCCACCCCCCTGACCCAGAAATGGATTAAAGGGTAGAAAATGGATGGATGGATGGATGGAAGTGGCAAAATGGGCAAAAAGTGGCAAACATTTGAATACATTGTACAGTGCAGACAATGCATGTTAAATTTGATTTGTACTGAAATACATTGGACTGACATTTCCACACTGTGGGACGAATAAAGGATATCTTAATCTATATGTAACAATACGTTTAAAAATACATTTTACTTTATTAAGGTTTGAAAGTTACATACACCAGCATTATAAAGGTTAAATACGAGGCTGAAGTGGCAACAGGTTACAGTCACACTGCTTTCTCTGTACATTCTTGTCATCATCAGAAGAAATGTGTTATATTTTCTACTATTATTCTGTCTCCTTTTGTATCATCCATCACCTCTCCCTCCCCCACAGTGACCTGCTGCCTACCTTGGATAACGGATCACAGCTGCGGGGCAGGAGCACCCCAATGTGTCAATCAATACGCTGTCCATTCAATGTCCATGTCTGAGCGGCTCTCAATGGACTGGAGCACGCTCAAAAGCCAACAACAGCTTGCGTTTTCTGATTAGACTTGAGTAACAGATTGTAAATGTCTCCCAGATTAAGTGCAGATATGTGAAACTGACCTATATCTGAAAGTAGCCAATGGAAGCTTGTCTATTAAAAGCTATAAAAACCCAAATATCACAGCAGGAGATTAGTCTCAGATGTGGGGTCTCCAAGGTATTTGATAATGTCCAAATGCCACTTTCGAAGCAAAAATAGCCCGTCCCATCAAAGTTTCCATCAACAACTGGACTTCACATGTGGCTCAAAAATAAACCAATGAGAGTTTTGTACCCGTTTGATTTTCCGATTGAACTCTTCTGCCAAGTTTATCTAGACACTAGAATAGAGTCCATGGTATTTATAAAGGTCAAAATGTGTTCGTCAGAGATTAAAAAAGTGATTTCTGATGACCTTTGAGCTAACTTTATAGAGAAAAGGGGGAAACATAATCAAACAGACAGTGTTATCACAAAACTCTGGAGTGAAATGGCTGAATGTGTAGAAGAATGGTCTTGAAAGTTTGAATGATACGTTTGTGAAATTGAAATGGCGATCGAAAAAGGCTGGACTATATACAACATATACAGTATTTTGGCATACATCATACTTTGAATGATTGCATAGAGCCAGGTGTTAAAGAAATACGTTTTATTTTAACCATGAAATATATTTTAGTTTAAATAGAGGGTAAACCATAGATTGAATAGGTGGGCTGACCGAGGCTTGACGTCACTCATAGTGTTTGCCGAATGCGGAAGAAGCTGATTTGAACATAAGCGAGCTATAGCCAAATTTCTTTTATGGGAATTTGTTTCAATTGCGTTAGCTTTGCACTGTAACAGGGGCAGACGTGTTGCCAAGATGGTTAAGGCAAGCATCCCCCACGAATCAAGGCATCTGATTGGTCATTGTTTTTGTACATGTTAAACTGGATTTACAAAGACACTATCAAAATATATAAATCAATAGGAGCCAGAGCAAGCTGGAGCAAAACTTTGTCCATGAGCACTTCCCGATTGGGCTTTATTTAGTTAGCAGGTTAGCATTGTCAATCTATATACAGAGTAAATATGGTGTCCTGGATCACCACAAAACAAAATTTCTACCTTCAATTTCTGCAGTTCTTTTCTGCCAAACACACATTATCAACTGGAATCCCATTATAATTTATCTATAAACATCCACTGTGCCATCATATCCAACGATGTACCTAAATGTCTTTCATTGTGCCCCTGCTATGGATTGAAAAAACATAAACCATTAGAAATTCATTAATGCTGAAGAGACCTAGCAGGATGCATTATGGATGAAGTCAATAGAGGCTAATGCCAATCAAACAGTGTGGGCCCAAACTTGCATCTCAAATGGCTTCATTGTGCGCTCTATGAATGAGCCTTAAGACTTGAAGCATCCGAACAACATACTCTCCACAGAGCGCTGGAATGCACTGAAAGAGCAAGCCTGTAGCCAAGACAGGACCCAAAATGAACAGAGAAAAACAGTTCCACTTCCTCTTTCAATTAAAAACACAACATAGTAATTTCTGGAAACACAGCTGCAGGCTCAGTGTTTTTTTTATCAACTGCTTGTATGAAGTCAGCATGTGGAGAGCCCTCCTTGCAAGGTGCCCTCCGCCATCAGCACTTCTGCCATTCGTCAGAGGCGAAGCAGAAAGACAAACCGCCCAGCTCAGAGGTGACAGATTGGCTGCCAAAAACTGAACGTGCAATGTTTCAAAGCAGCAATGACACAGCACATTAAATAAGAACTTGTCAACCCTTCGTGGGCATTTGGGGGCCTTCACAAGCATGTAAGTTGACTAAAAAGATGGCTGAATGGTCTTGTCATGTCCCTATCTATGTAATAAGGATTAACACAAGTACCTTAGACCATCAAATAGCAGTTGAATTGAGCAATTGAAATAACCTATGATCTTTAAATTACTGGTGTCATAGTAATATTGACAATATCATTAGTTATGTGTATTTGAGATAGATCCGCTTAATGCCTTGAAGATGCAATTCATAATTTCCATGGGGAAACAAGCAAGAGGAGGCAGTACTGTAAAGATGCAAGCAGTAAAGAACATCCAGGATTATTCCATCAATGTATTTTCCTGTAAAAGATCGTAACTTTGGGAAGAGCTGAAG